ATACGAGCTTCTCTAATCGGCTAACGCTTAACTAAAGTACGATACGTATCCCCTAGATTAATAGTTTAACTATTATAAATAAATCGACGATAATTCCTCTTATTAAGGTCTAGAACTCCTAACGTATAACCTTCGTTAAGGTAATACGTATAAGGAATAAATCCCGAGTAAAGGATCGCGTTAAATACGATACCGGTTATAACTATAGGCCGGTTTCGATTTAACGGAAGCTATTTAATAGTATTAACGGTATTACCGCTAGGCGTCGTTTTACGCCTATATTAATACTTCTCGTTATACTAGCTATTAGTTAGTAATATAAAGCTAACCTATATATAGGTATACCTATTAACTCGACTCTAGTTCCGTTTTCCTAATCCTTTATATTTACGTAATCTTATTAATATTAATTCCTAATTCTCCTTAAAACTATCGGTTATTAATAGCTATTAGTCTATTAATTTTTATCTATGCTATTAATGTAAATATTTATATTATATCGTATATTATATCGTCGAATCGCTACGCCTAGGTATCCTAAAATACCTCTAGCATAATAAGTTATTAATATCTATATATTTAATCTATATCGATTAATAAGTTTAAAGGGAAAAAAAAGCTATCGTAAGGTCGGCTAAGGTATAATTATTATTAGCCTTTATCCGCCCTTAGTATTAATAAAGGAGTAACGGGTCGTATAAGTTATCGTAATTTATATTAAAGCGCTCGTACGTTCTTTATATAATAAGTAAGTAACTATAAAGGAACTATCCTAATCGTCGAAAGCGTTATTTACTCGCGTAAGATATACCGTATTACTAGCGGTTCGAGGAAGCGGTTAATATCGAGGGCTAAGTACTATCCCTAGTAGCGGTAGTATTACGACAATAATTTCCTAGGCTTACGGATTCCTCCGTATAAGTAAGTAAATAACGATACGAGGAATATCCTAATCGGTATAAACGTAGTTTAATCGTCGTATTATATCGTAATATCGATAGCTTAATAACGTTATAAGTATTAAAGGCTAAGTACTATCCTAATAATAATAGTATCGTTATAATAATTCTCGGGCTTATACGTACCTTCCTATAGTAAATAAATAACCATAAAGCGGGATACTTTATTTAACGTAAAACGCGGGCTACTTCGCGGGTTAAATAGCGGCGCCGACGGCGATCGGTATCCTCTAAATCTTAATAACGTAATAAAAACTCCGTAAACTAAAGGTTAAGGGATCGAAAAAGTTATAAAGTAATTACTACTAAGGAGGAATAAAGCGTACGCGATACTAAAGACTCGGATAGGTTTACTCGAAAGTATACTCTACTAAAGATTATAATACGTACGATAGTCTAGGATAAATGAAACTAATATCGCTATACTAATCGAAAGGCAAGAAATCTAATATAATTATCGTATCTTAGCTATATCCCTTAGTCGTAGAGATATAATAGTCGCTAGCCCGAAGGTATAAGAGGTAAGGGGAAAAAAGAAGCAAAACGTAAAAGTTACCTATTCGGCTATAACGGTACGACGAAGTAACTTAAGCGCCTACGACTAAAATAGATATATTAATCGGAGAACGGCGAATCTAATAGCAAAAACGAATCTTTAATTAAAGTAAAAATAACAAAGATAGTAATCTAACTATGTAATAAATTAAATGATAAGTATAGCATATCCCGTACTTACGGGAGCTATGGTTACTCTATATAGGCATAAGGTCTATCGTAGCGTATTACGTAATACATTAAGAGGGCATGTCTTACCGTACTACTATAGTAAGCGTTAATTTTATTATATAGAATTTATTTATAAACCGAGTCCGTTCCCTTATTAGTAGCGACGATAACGACGACGACGGTAGCGACGACGGTAGCGACGACGACGGCGACGACGGTAGCGACGACGACGGCGACGAGGAAAGAACGTTACTCTATAAGGTATGCTTTAAACGAATTAATCGATTATAAGCGAACGCTTACGTAAAAAAAACCGGTATATAAAATAGCGTAGAAAACGCGAAAAGTTACGTATACGCGATAATTAATAAGTATAAAAGATAATCGCTATTATTACTACTATAAGGGCTATTACGCTTACGTTAAGGTATCCCGGGAGGCCGAGCTAGAGCTCGTTAAATTTATAGAATTAAAAAAAGCTTTCGATTTTAAAAAAATTAATAAAAAGGTACGTTAATACGTAATAAAGTACGCTAGCGTAGAAATTCTAATTTAAAATAAGCTTTTAATAAAGTCTATAAGAAAACTAAAAAGGTAATCCGGAAGGCGGAAGAGCGGGTTATAAAGTAATAAGGATTAGATATTAACGCTCTTTCTAGTAACGAATTATTACGAGAAATCCTACGTATATTACAAGAAAAAAATACGGATACGTAGAAAAAAGTAGAAAAGAAACGTAAAAAGAAGTAATGAAGATATAAGTTTAAGGGTTTCGTAGTTTTATTAGGCATAGCGCCCTTTTTTAATATAGAAATTACGTACCTACGTAATTTTAACTTTAAAAAAATTTTTCTATACTAGATTTCTTTTATGTTTTATTCTTCTTAAATTCGTTTTACTATATACGTTTTTTATCGTAAATAATATACGCTTTACTTAATATAATATACGTTAACGTAAAAATTTAAACTAGTTTCGAATTTATAAAAGATAGTTTCGTATAAATTATAAGTTTTCTATATATAATTTCTTACGTTTTCTAGGTTTTCTATAATAAATAAAGTTCGTAGCTCTAAAAATTAGTATTAAATAAACTAAGTATACTTTCTATATCTCTTTATCCTCCGGATAGGTTATTATTTTTAGCGTTTACGTTAAAAATAAGCCCGAATTATTCTACGAAGCAGAATAATTCGGGCCTTATTTTATACGCATATATTGCATATACCTATGCATTTTAGAGTCCCTCCTCGAAAAATCCTCCCCGTTTCCTCACGCACTCAACCAACCCACGACGCTACGTCTACCTATATGAGTATGCCGACATATCAGTCAGTTGCACACGCTACAGACCACGCAATAGACCCTAGGACACGAAAAGACAGGATATACGCATGTGCGGTCTCTTGCCCTCGTCTCGCGAGGAGATACAAGCAATGACTCGGTAGGTCCTCGTACCGGAACGGCTTGTTTGTTGGCAAACCTCGCCGGTTCGCCGATTCTCCCACGCAGATAGATTCCCAGCAACCACAAGACGACAACCGGCCGGGATCAACGACATAGACAGAGAGGAGAGAGCCCATGACAACATGACAGCTAGGGCCGGCATCTAAGAAATAAGCTTATGTACATGCACGGGTATGTATTATGTATGCGGTGCCTCATCGTGGCTTGCCGACAGGCCTCCAATGCCTACCTACCTATATATCATACCATTCCACACATTACATTACCTACCTAGACGCCGTGCTCCGCACACACACGTCTCCTCGCCCAGTCCTAGAACCGCCGCTCGGGTGCCTCCAGGCTGCCAACCGTGGTTCTATACGCATGAGGAGCCAAGGACCACAGGCATATCGCAGGCATGTACTTGCAGGCAATACATATGTACATGTATGCATGACTCGGTTGTCGCCGCTTGGCTGACACGGCGATTCGGATTCGGACCACTGGGTTCAAGTATAAGCAGGCGAGCAGGCGAGCAGGCGAGCAGGCGAGCAGGCTCGTTTACCTGCTCGGCGCGCAGCAGACGTCTGCGTTAAAAGGGCCGTGTCGCCTGTAGGTCTTCGGCAAAACGGCCTCCCACCGCAGCTGAGAGAGGGGGGGCGGTAGCTCTATTGGACGAAGGGGCGCCGTAGGTCGCTAATAGCGACTCGCTACACGCCACTCGCGTCTATGTAGAGGCCACGGCCACGGCCAAAATCACGCGGGAGCAACTGGCGCGCGTGTCGCAAGATGTCTGCATGCAATGCAATCCATATAGATTGCTATAGCTACGCAGAAATAAGTATCCCCACAGGTCTCTCGTGGCTATTTTTGCCAACCGTTCCAGACGCCGGCCCTCCCTGACTAGCCTGCCTGGCTCTGCAACTAGGTCGTCACGCTAGATCCACGAGAACGGCGAGGCGGGGTGGAGGGGATGGGGCGAAAGCGAGAGGGAGGGGAGGGAACGCGGGTATCCCTCCTTGGCCCGATTCCGGCTCTGCGATGTTGGCAGACTGTGAGTGAACGGTGCGCAGGGAGTTGCTCGTCCTAGGAAGCCGGAGGAGGGAGAGAGGAGAGGAAGAGAGTTATGTACGGAATAGCCCTACGGTACGAGGTCCTACTTAGGCAGGTTGCCGTGGGCGTCGGCCCTCCCTCCGTCCATGCGCATCCAGGTACGAGCGGTTCGTAACAGCAGGGCGGTGTGTTGCTCTGCAGACGATCAGCACATGCGGTATGACTGTATCTGGACGTATGGTAGGCCTGTATATACGGGGATATAGGTGTAGGACTGCCTATAACACAGCTGCAATATAGATACCATGTCGGGAAGCTAGCTACCTTGGTAGGTACCTAAAGCATGATGGTAGGTTAGATGGGTGAGTTGGTTGTTGAGGCTGACGATAAGCTGCGTCCTTTTCCTCTCTCCTCGTCCTCGTTTCTCTACGAGTAGCCGAACCGAACCGAACCGAAGACGTATTTATATATTTGCCAACTAGATATGCAGGTCGGTGGCAACCATCTACGTGACTGGCGCCTCTGATTCGCATCGTGAGGTCTTCCTCCCACTCCCTCCCCCCCTTCGCATAAGTAGTGAGGTAACTTTTAAGCGCCGACAGGCCAGGACCGTGGGATGGAGGGAGAAGGGCAACCTATGAGAAGAAGCCAAGAACTCTCTGACCTGTCCGCGTCCTGATCATGGATCTTCTAAATATAGGCGGCGGTGGTCCACACCAGACTTCCTGGGGCCAATAATCGACCTGCCCCCTTGACGGTGTGTCGAAGACGACCCAGCCCACTAACCAGGGCCGCCACTCGCCACTCCGGCTATTGATCAACTTCTCTTCGCTGCATTACCACCGGCCATGCTCCTCATTCGATTGCAGCGACCACGGCCCTTGTCAGGCGTGCCCTCCTACATGCTTCGCATCCTGCATGTACGCGGTCAGTTGGTAGAGAGGAGGAGGGGAGGGACCGCAAGTCGAAGAAGCAGATCATCCTTGGCTAGGACATACTTACTATGTAGGTATGTGCATCCATCCATCCATCCATACCTCTCCCTACCTATCTCCTACCCATCCCGTACGTACCTACAGGAGAGGATCGATCCCTTATAGACAAGTGAGACACGGGGCATCGCTTGCAGTTAGGAGCTGCAGGTTAGGAGTAGCATGCGGTGTTATCGCCGTCTCCCAACTAACTAGGAACGTACGTAGCACCCGATATCCCAAGACCCAGGGGGGGCAGAGAGGACTGGAGATCATACGGTCCCGGCATAGTCTAGTTGCAGTTATCGGCGGGATCGAGATGCCGTCTCTGTGTCATTACCCAGTTGATGAGCCTGTTGCAGCCTATGCAGGCATCCGGGGATTTGCTAAGGGAGCAGCCAATCCCCCACGTCCCTCCGCTGTAGGACGACCGATCTGGGATCGTCACCCTGTCGTGTCCTTCCATCGCCTTTTTACCTCCTACACCCTCTTTTTCCTGCTATTACTATCCTCACCTTGCGTAAAACCTCACCGGGCGCGCGTCCCGGTCCTGAGCACACCTAGATTATCTCGAGAGGAGAAAAGAGACGGGAGGGGAACAACACCGCTCACTCTCTCTCCCACGCCCACCACACCTACGCGGGGGCACACACGCCAGGTTATGGGAGTAGCTGACGAAGTGAGTGCTTCGCAGATCTCCAGCTGAAGCCCGAAAGCAGAAGAGAGAAGCAACAGTAGCGCGGCGACCAGTCGGCCGTCCTATCGATCGACGATCGAGGAATAGTAAGCGCAGCGCGTGCCATTCGCATCCGGCCTGCGTCCGCGTCGACCCAACAATTCGAACCCCCATCCAACGTCCACTCTTCTCCTCACGCGAGCGCCACGAACGAGGGAGACGGCCCCTAGACGGGTCGTAGTAATAAGTGATGATGACTACGAGTCCGCGCGACGGCGTGACCTCTCGACTCCGCCAGACGCTGAACCCGCTGCGAACGACGGCCCTCGGGGGATTCCACAACCAGCTAGCCACGCCGTATTCGGCCGCCTCCGTCGCCTCGCCATACAACACCCTCAACGGGCTCCAGACGCCGGCGAGCTCGATACAGCCCTACAACCCGCAGGAGTGGGCGCCGTCGCCCGCCGGCGGCCCCGAGCGAACGCATCAATTCGCCCCCTCGTCGCTACGCGACTCCCAAGGTAAGCCTTACCGCCGTCGACGTTATCGCGTGTGTGAAAGAAACCAGGCGAAGCTGATCAAGGCGGGGGAAACCAATTGAAACGCCATAATATAGTCCCAGCACCCCCTCCACCTTACTCTCCTCCTCGGAGCCAGAGACCACCCGCCAGCGCCGTCTACGAGACGCCGCCCGCAAACATCTCCGCAGCACGAGTCCCCCTCTCGAGCGTCCACCGGCCCTCGCCCGAGCCGGTAGCCACGACGAGCTTCCCACCGCCGCCAGGCTCAAATGGCCGTGGTGCCTCGCGCGAGCGACGATTCGGCCTGCCGTCGCTAACGCGGCGAAGAGACCGCGGCGCCTCCGACTCGATATCGCCTCCCGATCCCCATCCGCCCGTCGCGCTACCGCGACCGCAGACGCTGATGATACAGATCCCCCAGCCGGCGGACCCGTTAGAGACCAACCCGCCCGCCGTCCCCCCCGGCGCCCGCAGAGCAGCGTCCGCGAGCGCAATCGACACGCCCGTGTCCGCCCGGTCTCGGTCGGCCTCGCAGTCGAGATGGGAACCTGGGATGCCGCTGCCCCCGCCGCCGCCGGGCCCTCCACCACCGCAGTCTCGGTCGCAGAGCCTGAACCGCACCACGGATCCCATCGTCTCCCCGCCGACCCGGAGACCGCCTCCCACCGGGGTGAGCGACCTCGGCCCCGTGCCGCCCACGCCCGCCGACTGGGTCGACGATAGCCAGCCCCGCGTAGGGCCGAGCACGTCGTCCCACCCGTCCGGCCTGACCATCGACACCTCCGCCGCCTCGGAGTCGGGCTCCCAAGCGCCGCCCGAGTCGACATCTGGCTCGAGCTCGGCGGGCCTCAGCAGGACCGGTGCGGTCCGCGGCGAGAAATCGTTGCGCGAGCGGCGCAACGAGAGCCGGACGCGGCAAAAGCCCGAGGACGGGATCCAGCCGCTCTCCGACATCATCGTCCCCACGACCAGCGGAGCCCCAACCCGCCCCTTCTCAGCGCACAAGGGCACCCCGCGCAGCGGCGGGCGATCGGCGCTTGAACCCAAGACCGGTGACGACGTTCGTCTCGACTCGCAGAACCCGACGCCGCGGCCCTCGGCGGGCCCGCACCCGGAGACGCCGACGCCGCCCTTCTCGCCGCACCCGCACAAGGCGTACCAGGTCGCAGAGCCGGGCGAGGTACTCGCGCCGAAGGCCCTTCCGACGCCGCCCCCGCAGAGCCGGTCCGCGTCGAACTCGTCCCAGGCGCGGCCCGAGGCAGCCCGAGGCGCCACAGCCAGCAGCCCCGCTCCTACCCCAGGGTCCGCCTCCTCCCCCTACCCGGCCACGAAGCAGGCCGTCGTCAGCCAGACCGCCGAGCAGTTCTGCCTCGAGAGCGTCGAGCGCTTCCGGGCCTTCGCCAACCGCGAGGCCGTCGCCGCCTCCGACTCGGACCGCGTGAAGCTGTTCGCCGACTTCATCGTCAACGAGTCGCGCGTCCGCCGCGAGCGCTACGCCTCGGCGATCGGTGCCATGGGATCCGAGATCTTCGACCTGACCCGGGACCTCTTCCGGCCCATGCAGGCGCGGCGCGACTCGACCGCGTCCCAGGCCAGCGAGTGGACGCCGCAAGTGTCCGAGGCGAAGTCGAAGCGCAACTCCCAGGCCTCGCCCGCCAGCCTGTCGGCGTCGCCGATGCCCGGCCCCCCGCCACCGACCGCGAACTGGACCTCGCAGTACATGCCCTCGCTGTCGCCGATCCTGAGCATGAGCGTCAGCGAGCAGCTCGACGGCGGGAGCTCCCGCGGCCGGCCCGCAAGCCGGTGGTGGGAGACGGACTCCGGCGGCGAGCACCCCAGCCGGATCGAGCGGTCGAAACGCGAATCCAAATACATGGGCGTGCCAAAGGAGGCGCGAGAGGCCCTGCAGTGGGAGGACATGCCGAGCAGCTCTGAGGGCCACGTCGACGCCGGCCAGCACTACGCGGAGAACGAGTACCCGCCCGAGAAGGTCGGATGGCACGAGCCTCCTAAGTCGCAGTCGAACGGCAGCTACAATACGTTCCGGAACTCCCTGCTGTCGGTGGCCTCGTCGGCCCCGAACACGCCGTGCCCGTCGCACCTCGACGTATCCCGGCTCGTCACGCTGCCGCCGCCGTACCCGCGCCACCACCCGGCCGTCAACAACAACCACCCGGAGCTGTCCTCGATCCGGACGCTCGTGCGCGCCATCAGCGACATGACCGAGGTGCAGGCGACCAAGGACCGCTTCGAGCACGAGAGCCGCGCCGTGCGCGACGAGGCGGCCGCGTCGGCCTCGGCCCGCCTCAAGGCGCTGCGCGCCAACCTGCAGCAGGAGATCGCGTCGGGCGACATGTCGTACGCGGAGGCGGCGGCGATCGAGGCCGACACGCAGGCGACGGAGAAGGCGCGGGCCAAGGAGCTCGACAAGCGCGAGTTCGACCGGTTCCAGACGGCGGTGGTGATGCCGCTCAACGAGCTGCTGACGGGGCGGATCGGGCAGGCGTCGTCGCTGTTCGACGAGCTGCGCTCGCGGCTCTTCGCCGAGACGCAGCAGGCGCCGGACCCCAACATGCCGCAGGAGGAGGGCGACGAGCAGCCGGAGCTGCTCGAGAAGCTGACGCTGCTCAAGTGGATCTTCGAGGCGCGCGAGGCGCTGCACCGCGAGATCTACGACCTGCTGAGCGACCGCAACGACCGCTACCGCGAGATGGTCGTGACGCCGTACCGGCTCGCCGGCAACGCGGAGAAGCTGCGGACGGCGGAGGCCTTCTTCGTCGAGGACGCGGCGAAGCGGCGGGCGGCGTTCGCGGGCGAGGTGCTGCAGCGCACGGGCGAGTTCCGCGGCGTGGTGGAGGAGAACGTGGTGCGCGGGGTCGACATGCAGCTCAACGCGTTCTGGGACCTGGCGCCGCCGCTGCGGCGGCTGCTCGACAAGATCCCGGCGCCGCTGGACGAGCGCTTCCGCATCCAGGTGCCGGCGGCCGAGTACGACGAGACGCCGAGCTACCGCGAGCACCCGCTGCAGTACCTCTTCAGCCTGCTGCTGCACGCGGAGAAGAGCACGTACCAGTTCATCGAGTCGCAGACGAACCTGCTCTGCCTGCTGCACGAGGTCAAGGAGGCCGTCGTCGGCGCGCGCGCCAAGCTCGGCGAGGCCGAGGGCCGCGACCCCGCCCAGGTCGAGGCCGAGCGCGCCGCCGAGCAGGACCGCCTCACCGCCGACCTCCAGGAGAAGGTCCGCGTCGTCCAGGACCAGTGGGAGGGCGCGCTCGGCGAGGCCATGCGCGGCGTCAAGGAGCGCGTCGGCGAGTGGCTCCTCTCGACCGGCGGCTGGGACGAGAGCCTCGAGGACGGCGGCGTCGGCGGCGTCTAAGCCGCCGCGGAGCGGACCCGAGGTCCCGGAGACTCGAAGGAGGGGGGGGGGGGCAGATATCTACTACGTGCGAGAGAGAGAAAGACTGAGAAGGGAGACCGAAATAGAGACAAGGGGCAGGTCTGCCGACTTCCTTGACACAAACGAGATCGAAAATAAGAAAAGAGTGAGAAGGAGAGAAAAAAAAACAAACAGAACAGTTCTCGCAGAGGCGAAAAATTGGCGCAAGGGAAAAACCGAGGGAGAGAGATAGCCGAGAGTTCTCGGCAGCGTTGTCGGGAGGAACGCGTTCGCGCACACGCGCGCCTGCTTGTGTGATACCCCCTTTTTTTTTTCATGAATGGCCGGCCGGATATGACCTGGGTTGACGGGCCACGACTCGGAATTCTCCTTTTACAGACGCTCTTGGTTCTTTCTTAGACAATAGACGGGGGGGGTGTTTAATCGGACTATGAGAGAGGGAGAGAGAGCAGTGACGGGAGTTGAACGTATTATCTCTTAGGATCTACTCAACTCGTCTAATCCACACACAGGACAAGATACTTATCTAAATAGATATATGCCCTCGCCATGTAACTAGCCGGGCATCTCGTCGCCTTTTATGATATGGATTCCGTTGGATTTGATATCTATTAGATACTACCGCACTTATGGTCCTGCTAATTCTTTCGTTTGTGGGAGGAATTTCGATATTTTTGAAGACTTCATCGAGACGAGTTTTGGCGTGCGTAGTCAGTCACATTTCTGACTTCAGTTAATAACCTCCACGTTGTGTCACATCTGCCTCTTGGTTATCAGTATTACTAGGTATGCACCCCTTATTAAGCATCGACGTGGTTCCCGCACCGCAAATCCCCTTCCTCTTGAGGTATCATTCTATCTTTAGCTGTCCCCCAATGCAAGACTCAGCTATTTGTAGCTCGTTGGATAACCATCTACGCCTCCTATACGTGAGACCCAGTCCTCCCATCACCCCTTGCCCCCTCAATAGAAGGTCTATGAATCGACAAAGTTAACACAACCGCGGAGACCATCGATCAACTCTGGGTCAAACTCGGATAGCCATTCAGGTTCGCCCGTGTCATGTGCTAGAGTATCTGGATCGAATGGCAGGCCCGGGCGATCCCTAATTGCTGGGGATGACGACATTGGGATAGTTTCGTGTGAGTCTAGAGAAGGTGAATTCGATTTTCCGGCGGACCTTTCCGGCGCCGGAGGGCTTAATTTTCCGCAGGCATTTTGCGGCGAAGAACCGGCAGGATATAGATCAAGTCGTTCAGACGCCTTTTGTAACTCGTTGACAGTAGTGAAGCTAAGATCCGGTTCCTAACCATGATCTATGCTCTCCCTGAGAGTTTGAACCACACCGGGGTAGAGAGTCTCGTCTAAATTCCCCTTTTTTACCATCCCACAATCTACCGGTTTGACAAGCTGTACGAGACTTTCTAGGTCGGGGAATTCGTCATCTTCGAAGACGTCGCTATCGTGGTGCAGATTAGAATCGTCGTGGCTCGACGTTAGTTCGGCCGGGCCATAGGATGGCGGTGCTGCTACGCTATAAGGCGTCTGAGATGAATTGTGGATAGCCTTGGGGTCACAATTCTCTAGAGTAGCGGATGAATTTTCCGCGTTTTCTTCGTTGCCACGGGGTTCTTCGTTGCCACGAGGGTATAGTTGCTTTGCCCTTTTCTTCCCGGAGGGATGTGGTATCTTTGAGTGAAGAGCAGGTCCATTATTTCCCGATACTCCAGAGAGGTCGATGCATTCAATATCCGAAAGCGTTCCCATACTTGATAAGTCGGACTGCCGGGTTTTCATCGTTCTCTTCGTCAACCTCGGCCCATCGTCGTCCTCACCAGACGAACGTTTCCTAGCGACATTCGACAAAGTAGATGCAGGGTCGTCTGTGTCGCAAGGTATATACCGAGCAAGTTTGTCCTCGCGACCTAAATTGCGACTCTCAGGATTAGTGGCGGGCTCTGACCTGGTTGACCCCTTGTGGTCGTCTTCACCACCCCTGATACTCGGAGCGGCCCAGGAGGCCTGTAGAGGTTTGGTCTTTGGTCCGCCGATGAAATTGGCTTCCGTAACAGCATGGCTCGCCGAAGTGCTCCTGTCCTTCTTCCCCAGCGGTACTGGACGCGGTTTGTCGATCCCTTCATGACAACATTTATGATTGCATAGCCTGCCTGCTGCGATAAGACCTCCGTTGCGACAATAATGATTGCACATCCACTTCCCATTCGCCATCTTGAGGGGCCCGGGTGCTAAGGTGCTCGTATTTTGTGACATTGACTTGTCAAAGGGCGAGCGGTTATCTTCAGCAGCTTCCGACGGACGTCGACATTCACCGTCATTGCTGTCGGGATTTTGATCGGCATTCAGCATATCCTCGTCGGGGATATCACTGTAGTCCATGTCATCTCCTACCGTTTTTATGACTTGGGTTCGGCTGTCTGGTAAGTGAGTATTGGTGAGATCGAATGCTGCTGCCGGTACGTCGGGCTTGACCGTTTTTGTAATTTGCGTGCCTACAATCTCGTCGCAGCTGAAATAGCAAGAGATTTTTTGGCCTGGGCCACTAAGCGGTACCGGAAATTTGAGATCGAAGCCTGTAGACTGTTCGATGTTCTTCAAGTTGCCACGCCAAATATACGCGAGGTTCCCATCCGTCGTCAAGACCAAGAATGTGACAGCTGGAACTCTGTTATTCCAATTTGGCGTCCCCTTGGTATTACAGTACCCAAGGTTTACTTTCAGCGCAATCGGCACGGAGTCTCCGTGTTGGGGCCGATCCGTACTGGCGGCGGCGATGATTTGTGCTCTCAGGGTCAGCCGGGGAAAGTTCTCCAGCGTCTTCAAGAGGTTCTTCCCGTACGGCGGGTTTCGACTCGAGATACGCTCTATCTCGTCGAAGTCTCTATCTGCTAGCTCCAATACCGTATGGATCCCATGGCTGACCCATTTGCGCACCGTTACCGGGCCGGATCCAGGGATCTGGGAGAGCTGTGAGGGTTTGCCCTCCCACGAATTCGCGGTAACGGCGCGGAGCAGCTCTAGGCCCGCGTGCGTACTCGTACCGTCGCCGTCAAAAGCTTTACAATCAACCAGACAGCGGACTAGGCGATTCAGGCGATCGAATATGGCATTCTTGTCCGTCGCGATCCGATATCGGAATGTATTATATTCCTTCTTGTTTGGCAATTCCACTCCCCCGAGGTGGATCTGAACCATGAGAAATATCTTATGCCATGTTTGTGTCAATGTCCCCTTGATCGGATGGAGGAGAAACGGTGACTTGTTCAAGTCCCGGAAAAGAGCACGTTCCTCGGGCTTAAAACGGAAATCCTTGAACTCGACGGCCTGGCAGATCGCAGTAAGCTGTGGGTAATATCACGAATCAGTTACTGGGCCGAAAGGGGGGGATCCAGTAGTATGGGAACGTACAATTTCCTCGAGTTGCGCGCCGCGAGGAATTGATAGAAGCAGCTTCATAGTCTCGAAGCTGATCATATATCTAGACATGGCGTGTCCATACTCGGTACACTTAAACGGCGTCTCTGCAGTTACGAGCTCGGATTGCTGCAATAACTCCACGTCCCGCTCGCACCATTCTTCCATGGTATTTTCTGCGTCTTGGGCATTTCGAGCCTCGCCGAGGTTATATAGGGCAGGCGATCGACGAACCCGCACGCTCAAAAACGTGCCTCCGATCCATCTCTTCGCGGTTTGGACGTTCTGGATGGTGCCTAAGCTGATTTCGGAGTTGAGATGTTCAACTAGGTTTCGGTGCAGCGTGCTTTCCAGGGTCTCCTCTCCGGATATCATCCGCTTGTATCGGCTAGCATTGCCTGATCTCGTCATGATTATGGCCACGGCAGCATCGTCGAACTGCGGCCGGCCAGCACGACCGAGCATTTGCATAACCTCTATATCCGAGTATTCTCGGAGCTTATCTTCCGAGTATCCCACCGTCCCCTTCAGAACCACAGTATGGCAGGGCAAGTTCACGCCAACTGCAAGTGTCGATGTGCAGCATATAACGTGGATCTGGCCGTCGAGAAAGCTCTGAGCTACCGTCGATCTATCCTGGGCTTCGAGGCCTGCGTGATGGAAAGCAACACCGCACCGTACTACTTCCTGCAATTCTCCTCCGACGATGGGAACTCGTCTCGCTGGCGCCGGCCAGGCTCTGTCCCCTGCTGCACACGTCGACCACCACTCTGCAAGCTTCCGAGCGGTGCTCTCGCACGACTTCCTAGTGAAGCAAAATACCATGGCCGGCTTCTTCTCTGAATGTTTAGCGAGTAGTAGAGCCAACTTCCCGTCCAGCGACTTTTCGAACACGAAATCATTGGGAGACCCATCGTAACCGTAGACATATCGCCGCAGTTTGACAGGCCGCAACTCCTCGCCGAAAGCTTCGTATCTGGCTGGCTCCTCTTGGTTCGAATGATCTCGGCCGAGCCACTTCGCGATGTCGTCGATGTTTGGGACGGTAGCGCTTAAAGCCACGAAACGGACATTGGCACCAATGGTCTTCATACGCGAAACCACAGCCTCCAACGTGGCACCGCGGGCATCCTTCAAAATATGTACCTCGTCAATAAGGACTACGCGAATCATCTCCAGTAGCTTTCGGTGATCCGACCACTTCCTTGTAATTGAATCCCACTTCTCGGGAGTTGTGACAATTATCGACGCAGTCCCCACCCGGCTGGCCTGGGCGTGGGAAGTATCACCGGTGAGTTCGACGCACCGCAAGCTCATATGGTTGAATTTCTTCTCCCAGTCCCGTGCTCGTTCCGAGCATAAGGACTTTGTTGGAGCCTGATAGACAATCTTAAAGTTCTCACCGCCCGGGCTCATGGCAAGCTTGCAAATGGCCATTTCCAGGATCGCTGTCTTCCCAGACCCTGTAGGGGCAGATACGACGACATTGTCATTCGTACCGTATACGAGCGGGAAACATTTGGACTGCACTACATTGAATAGCTCATAAGGGAATACGCTTCGACACTTGTCAGGCAATGCTTGCCGTGGATCAATTAGACGGGTGCCGTTGGTGATCGGTGGTCCCTCCGGCGCATGGTCAAGATCAAACTTCGACTTGCTCGCCCATCGGGGCTTTGCAAGAGGGCCATCGGATACTTCGGACAGTCGCTTAAGGCTGATGCGTGTAGCAGGGCTGGATGCTCCAACATTTGTGGGCGAACTGCTGGCGAGTGTGTTTTCAAGCGACGGGGTCGGATCCGAAGCTTTGATCCATGGTCAGTACATTTCCCCTACTGCAAAAAAAAGCCCGAATCTATACTAACATCTATAGAGTGAGGGCGTGGCTGTCTGTATCCCAGGCTGAAGCTCTCGCGGTTTGTGCGAGCCATCACGACCCAACATCGAGCGGGATACCGGACTTGATTCAAATATGTCAGCGAGGGCGGGGTCGCTTGGGGATAGCGGCCGAAAATCAAGGCCTCGCGGCACAGGAACTGTAGACTGGCGACCAAACCCCCCCGTTACCCGTCGTTGCTGGTCGGAAGTGTAGGTGAAGGGTAACGATAGGCGCTGGTCGTGGTGCTCTGGATTGGAACGGCAGAAGGATCTCTGCGATCGGCCGAGCAATTCACGATCTATACCTAAGGATTAGGAGCCACGGCAACGAAGGTATGTCTCCTCGAGAGGTAGTAAGGTCTTTATTAGCGAACTTACCAAAGTGATCGAGGTCCTGGCCATCCTCTTGAGAGTCGTACAGCGGATTCATCAGTCTCCCACCCCTGTCTACATCACTGTACGCGTGAAAAGGAGAGTAACGGGAGCTACGGTCTTGGAGGGGGTTGCTGATATCGTCGATAGTATTTCGAACGAATTCACCCTGCTCTCCTCCGGGAGGGAAGCCATAGATATGGTCTCCCACATCCGTATCGGACCAGCTCGACATGAGGTTGTCCGACGAACGTCTTCTGACGGTATGATAAGGATAACGCTGGTACTGATCAACGACACCCGAGAATAAAAAACAAACGATATATAGAGGCTAGCGTATAACTACTTAGAATGCTAGATGGATAATCGACATTGGCTCGGCGTATAGATGAGCGGGACGCTGCCTGGGAGAACGAGGAGACACGACGTGGGATTCGGCTACGATGAGGTCGGGACATCGAAGACGGGAGAAAAGGAGAGGCTAGAGACGGGACTTCCTTTTGCACGCATCATCTTATGTAATGACACGAGGCGGCGCCTACCTGAGGTGAGCATCGATGCGTGGCTGCCCGACGGGGGACAGACTCGAGAGCCAGGAAGTCGCGGTTCGGCATGACGTCTATCCCGTCGACGCCGGCCGCGCCTCCCCTTCCTCCCCTCTCGCCCGCGGAGATGAACCTCAAGTAACAGGCAACCTCTCTACCACGTGACTCTCTGCCCGAGCAGAGCTGATTCTCGTCAAGTTGTAATCTACCAGGGCCGATCACAGCACAGACACAAGCGCGGTGAACGAGAACAAGAATAAAGAGGCCGTTCTCTTCTTAGGGTATACACAAGATCTAACCCTTCCCAGTAGTCCTTAACTCCATTGCTAGCTTTCGCCGAAGTCCAAGCCCACCTCCTGCTCGGTTGAGGCCGGTACTCTCCAGTCCCAGTCCCCAGCCTGTACTTGGGGCCCGAACCTCTTCCTGCTACTCTGGCAAGTCACGCCTCCAGGGTCGCATCCGCATTCTTTACTCTTCTCCTGCCTCCTCATCAGCTTCCGCTCGCAATAGCGTCAGACCCGTGCATTGCTTCGAGATCACTCGGCACCGAATGCTGCTGCCATGCGGCACCCCGTCCGTACGAGTTTATCTCGCACAGACTCAACTAGCTACATTCCTGGGGGTCTGGGCATGGCGTTTAAGTCCAGTTTGTCCAGCCGTTCGATCGAGGTAGGTTTGGCACGCCGCGATTATCCCCACTCCCCCTCACCCCCCCTGAATACCAGGCTTTTACGTGGTCGACGTTCCATCACTGGCGCCGTCACTGCCTTACTCATCCCGGTTCTTGCCTCGGGCCTCGGGCGTACGGTTGTGGTAGCGCAGGGGGGATGCTGGGCGCGAGGACGACAATCCCATCGCTTTCATGCCCTCGAGCGGGTCTGGAACGCTGAGTCTATTGCCCGTATACTGCGGCGTGTTCATCGGGTCGATCGTCGTCTTCTCGTAGTTGACGATGTTAATCGGCGGCGGCCGGCCGCGCTTTCGGTCCGGGCCCGTGTAAAGGAAGGTCGACACGAGGACCAGGAGCGTCCCGATCAAGAACTAGAAGGAGATGAGCAATCGCATTGGTAGTAAAGAGGGGGAGAGAAGAAAAATAGCCCGGTGATAGCTCTCAGCCATAATGCGAGGCGGCTTACCGTTAATGTCACCTGCACTCGGAAAAACCAGACACTGAACAGGAACCCTATGGTGATGCTGATGCTCGTAGCAAAATTCTTCGCAATGTTATCGGCGTAGTTGATGCAGAGCGACGTGAGCACGCCCCCGAATGCCTGCAGAACGATCAACGCCCACACGATCCAGTTATAACCGTCGAAGAAACCGTGTTTCGCGATCTCTCGGCCGTCCTTGAATACCACGCCCATCAGTAGCGCAGGGAACAGCGAGTAGAAGGACAGCTGGATATTGCGAATCCAGACCGATGTGGGGTTCTCCGAGTCCTTGAGCACCTTCTCCAAGTAGACGCCGGTCAGCCCCGAGATCACCGCCACGGCCAGGACGGCCGACAGGCCTATCGAGTAATTCATAGTGGGCACAAGGTTCTGATCTTCCTCGATCCCCTCGTACGTCGCCGAGCGCTTCGCGATAGCCTGGCCGACGTCGGCCAGGGCGTCGACGCCGCGCTTCGTGAGCTCCCTCGCGACGTCGCCCACACCGTTCGCCATCTGGCCCAGCTCGTGCACGGATCGAGGGAAGAAGTGATCCGTCATGTCATGGATCAGAAGCGAGCTGTCCCTCGAGCTCGACGACGGAATCGAGACGATCGAGACGCCCACGGTTAGAATGACGAGAGACGCCCAGCGCTTGGCGGACACGGATCGGCCAAGCATGGCCACGGTGAATATGGCAGTGGTCAGGATCCTGAGCTGGTATAGGATCTGGAAGTGCACCGGGTCCATATGGCTAACCGCCACGTACTGCAAGATATTCTGTAGGGTGTAGAGGGTCGCCGGGACGGCGAGCTTCCACGAGTCGGAAGAAAAGACGGACTTGAAGATGCGCTCGAATATAACGGTCGCGGGCGTCGACGGCGCCAGGTTTCGCGAGACTTCGTATAGGGCAAGCGTTAGGGAGATGGCTAGCTTGATCACCTCGGTCAGGAACACGGCCGTCGAGGTAAAGTATCGGTGGTCGCCGCTCGGGGGCATCATTCGCGAATAGTGCATGAGGAGAATCAGGGCCGAGTTTTGGAAGGTCAGCTGGCAGCAGCGGCAGCGAAGATGTTAGCAATGCCGCGCGGCTACGTCGCCGGGGGGGGACCGTCGTCGCACGTACCGTGATGAGAGACACCTGCTTCATAGGCATGCCGAAAAGGCTCGGCCCTCCCGCCGGTTGTGGAGTGCCATCGAGGAGAGCCATGGCGGGTGGTGGTGGACTGCGACCGCAGCTCGGCCAGACTATGTTTATCTCGTTGGTTGTTGTCGTGTGGTTGAGTAGGTAATCCAGGTGGTTTTCCCTTTTGTTTCCCCCACCCCGGTCTCCGTTCCAAAATTTTAAATCGGTAAATAACCCCAAAAAGCCCCGAAATCGCCCCTCAAGGGTAGAAATTATCAGCTGAATGAACGTTCGCCTATTCGGCCAATTGATGCCCAGAAAGGCTTGTGTGCCGGAATGGACTAGTATCGAGTTGTGCCCGCGGTTAGTGAATCACGAGATATGCGAACATTAGTCGCAGACCAAGTTCGAGTCAAGGAGTCAAGGAGAGAGAGAGTAGGTTGTAGGTTCGTTTGGTCTCATATAGGTAGGGACGGGAAGAAAAAGGGACAATTCTAGGAGAAAGGCGAAGCGCTTGAAGGTATTTTGCCAGTTTGGGTTGACGTGTTTCCGCTGCCCACATCCAAATCAAACTGAATATGGAAAAGGGACCCTGTTTAAGCTCTTTCAAACCCCCTGGATGCGACGCTGGGGTTCTGAGGCATGCGATAGGCTGTCCGTGATGGTCAGGGTCAACGGGTCGGCATCCAAGCTTGGTTTAGAGTATCTCGGGGGGGGGCGTAAAGGTGTAGAGAGCAGCGCTCAGTCCGTCGGGGAGGGTAGAGGAGAAAAAGAAGAGGTGGCGACGAATTTTGGGCTCCGAGTGCCAGCGCGATTCACATATTAAGGCCGGCCCATATTGTGTCGTGCTTATGCTGGTCGATGATCTCAAAGGCGTCCGAACCCGTCCACAACACGTAGGGATCATCGCAGCGCAAGATGCGCTGTGCCTGGGTGTTGTTGCAGGGTTGCGCTGGGCGCACTTGGCGATTCTGCGAATAATATTCAAGCCGCCAAATGTGGGATTGAGATCCCCTCGCCTTGGCAGACGCGATTACAGCAAAACCTGCTATCGTCCATATTATTTACAGCACGGCAGGACAAGCAGTGGACGCTATATTACTACAGTATCCGGGAATTATGGCGTAGGTCAGTCGGTGCATATGTCGATGGATCGCACTACATACGTATGTGCAGGTTCCCAATGCCTTGTCTGCCCTCGGCCGTCCGTCCCAGTTCTCCCTCTTCCGGCCCCGGCGATGCATCATCCGGTTAGCTATCTGGTTGGCATCCTCGGTTCTCTCCACTCTCCGCCCGTCGTCTGATTCAGGCTCCTCCTCAGTACTAGTGGGCAGAGACGGCCATGGGTCTGGAAAGGGAGAAAAAGAGAAAGTGAAGAAGAAAAAAAGTGGAAAAGACAGTAGGAGATCAGCAATCCCGCAACCACAGCTGGTCAATGCCCGGATTCTAGCTTTTTGGGCTCCGTGAAGATCACGGGGAGGGGCCGAAAAGGCTGCGTGGGCACGCTTCTTGACGCGATTCCTGTTATTCTGAAGGCCGTGTGTTTCGAGTGGTTTAAACCCTGACTTAGCAGGCTTAACGTCATTTGATATATCCCTTTGGCCTGTAGGTAGGTAGCGTCTAGAGTCCAGACGCGCCAGGGTGTCAAACAGCACCACTTCAGCATCCACTTCGAAGCACACCTTCGCGTGGTATTTGGAGGCAAGTTGCAACGCGACTCACCTATCGGCAAATACCTACACAGCCGTATCCAGCCATCGGATCGGGGGCCCGCAGCCGTCCGTAGTCTCATCATTGCAGCACCCGGTGCTACCAGTTGTCGACTTTAGCCAACTCGCCGTGGACCCAAGCATTGCTCGACGGTCGCAGGAGGGCGAGTTCTCTCCATGGCGTACGCGGCAGACGCGCAAGGCATACCCCGGCCCGGCATGCCCACAGTTGTGTCGGCACGGGCATTTCCCTCCGAGCTGCCTGTGGCATAGCTTAGCTACCCAACATCGCATAACTAACTCGCAAAAACCAAGCATCGCCATCCGCACAAGGCCGGCGAGCCGCACAAGCGAGATGCGGAGTGCAGAAGGAAGGAAACTAGCGATAGACGGAGTCGCAGAGAGGCGCGTCGTACCCAGTAGAGGAGGAGTCTGGGCAATGTCGGGTAGTCCGCAGGAGGATGCTGCAAGTCATGTCGCCAGCCCACCGTACAGCTTGGCGCGGCGCGGGGCTGGAAGCCCAGCGCACTCTTCAATTTTTCGAGGCTCCTGGATTTGAGGGCTGAGAGCACCAGCTCGCGTTGGGCACGGGGACGGGTTCGGCCCAAGAATCGAAGGAAGCAAGTCAAGGCCCGCCCAATCGACCCCGTCAACGTGGTCAACGCACGGGTTTCCCCTTTTCCCTTCTTCCTTGTTTGAACAGCCGTCAGCACACGATCTCGATGCGGGCAGAAGCCTTAGGGGCAACGCAGAGCGGCAAGATTAGCTGTTAGACGGCCTAGAGGTCGGGATTTCACTACCGGTCTCAGCGAGCGAGACCTGAGTAACTAAGTGCATTCCTGTACTGCGCGAAGCGGAATAGTATGGCGCTGGGAATGAATGTGCCAGGCTCAAGATCCAAAAATAAAACCCGATCCCACAAGCAAACCAACCTATGGTGGAAGAAAGTACCAAGGCTGGGAGGAAAAAATGAGTCAATTGCCAGCTGCAGGGTTCGAACCTGCGCATCTCTCGATAATGGTGTTCAAGATCTTTGGGGGACCAGACTTAAAACCACCGCCTTAGACCACTGTGATTGGGAGTTAGTGCGCAGTCGAATTTTATCGGGGTCAAATTAAAAACATACCTCGGCCAAACTGGCTATGCGACGGGTAACTTCTGAGAGTATACAAGTGGCTATTGTATCTCATGACTGCTCCCAGGCCGGGCAGCCAATGATGTCGCCGCCTTGCTTTCGACGACTACGAGGTGGGATGTATGTACACTACTACTCTCCATCCCACTATCCACACCCCCTTTTCCTGTCTCCTCCCCCCAATCGGAGCCCCTAATCGCGCCAGGGCAATCCACGGCACGCACATATATCACACAGACGGGCCGAGAGAAACCCTGAGTGCGGTCAGCAAAATTGATCTCATGGCCTGCCCTGATTTTATTCACGGCTCCGGTGCTTGCGCGGGTGTGGTTTGCGCTCGTCAAATTGCGATAGACCCTACTCTCCGTGCTGCCGCTCCCTACTCGACACGCGCGTCATCTTCTATTTGTATTGCATTCGGTGTACAGTATAGTATACGGCCGCTACCACCAACGGTTCTAGATGCGGCCCTCACCACCATTACGGGGTTTTGCCGCCGGGAAGAGCAGAAAGAGGCCGAGGCGGCATATCCCTCGCTCCCCGGATTCTATCATTACATCCTGCTCTCGTAGTACTCGAGCGCAATCCAACACCCCTCCCCCCCCCCAGGTCCCTCCCCTTTTTTTTTCACGCCCCTTGCATACATCCCTCTTTCGGGTAGCAACAAAAGGAAATACTAATATAAACAATAACAAATAAGGGCCGTCTCTCACGTTAAATGGGTATCGTTGAACCGATACGTGGGGATATACCGAAACCTCCGTTCCCCCTGCCCGTCCCTCTTCGCCCTTCCCCCCTTTTCCCCCCTCCGCTACTCCCCCCCCTCTCCCTCCCAAGGTAAAAAAAAAAGGGCCCAACCGGATTTCATCGTGTTTTTTTTTTCCTACTGTACACAGCGAGGAGGGATCTGATGGCCAGATGGAACGGAGGGATGGGGCGGTGTTATTAGTCGTGAGAGCAGTGATGCTGTTCTTGTATGGGGGTTTTTTTCTTCTCCCGGTGCGTAACAAATGTCGAGCAGATAATAATACTTCGGGAATCCCGTCTGAGATGCTACCAGCTCTGTGTCCGTCGAACTCCCCGGAAAAGCGAAACAGAGTCCGTACTTTCAAAAAAACAAAAATTTGCAACACCAAAAAAAAGCCGAGTGCCGATGAAGAACCGTAAATGCGTGCGTTAATCTTCCAGACATAAGAAACGAGAGGGCACGTGCTGCTCCTGCCGTCGCGCCCGCCCAGCACGATATCATCGTGAAGGCTTTGGGGGGGGGAGGGGACGGGGGTCATCTCTGTCACCCAGCGGAGGTTGCTTCGGCTTCGTGACCGCTATGGGTCGGATTGTCGCATTCAGTCGTCGTCGCCCCACCAAGGGATGGGGGAGCCGACTCCCCCCACGGCGCTCAGCCTCACGGAGCTCTTCTTGCCCTTCTTGTGGCCCGCGCTGGGGGGCGGCGCCGTTAGGAACCTGTTCTCGGGCGAGGCGGGACTGCGCGATCGAGAACCCCCCTTCTCCGTCGACGGCTCGCGCGCGGCGACGGCGCCCCGCCGGTGCGCCACGGCGGGCTTGGCGTTGCCGAAGTCGGCGTCGGCGTGGATTTCCTCGTTGACCGCGGGCGCGAGCTTCGGCAGGTTGTTCGGGAGCGGGGCCTCCTGGACGGGGACGCTCCGCGGGCTCACCGGGCTCGAGTCCGGCCGCGGCCTGCCTCGCGGCTCGGGGCTGTCGCCGCCGAGCTTCGACGCGCTCCGGCCCCGGCCCTGGCCCTTGGGCATCGGGAACGCCAGCTCCTCGTCCATGAACTCGCTCAGGTCCGGGCTCGGCTCCGCCTGGTCGACCACGTCGATGCTGTCGATCGGCCGGTCCAGGTACAGCAGCACCCGCTCGTGGCGGGCCTTGCCCGTCGTCGTCGTCGCTCGCGATTCGGGCTCGAGCGAGATCCGGAACGGCCTGAGGCCCTTCTCCGTCGGTGCGCTGTGGCTCGTCGACCGCGGCGCGTCGACGGCACGCCGCCCGCTGGAGCTTTCGCGCAGTCGGCCGCGGCTGCTGGTGGTGGTGGTGCCGCCGCTCGGGTTTGCGTACCCGACGAGCGAAGATGATCTTCTCCCCGTAAGCTTCGGTTGCTTCGTCCTCGCACGGGCGTCCCTCGTCTCCTTCTCTGCGAGTTTCGGGTTCGGTACGGCACCCTTCTTGATGCTCTCGGCGCCACTTATGCTGCCCTTTGAGCCGTGTCCCCGGCCGCCCCTGTCCTCTTCAATTTCGGCAATTATGTTCTCCCGCATCCGCGCCCTCTTCTTCCGCAGCGCGGCGAGAAGCATCTCCTCCTGTCTCGTTACAGCCATTAATCTTGCGTTCTGCGGTTCGCTAGCGTTGCTTACGATCGATTCCGGTCGTGTCGATTCCGACTGTCGCTTGAAAAATTCCACGCTACTCGGCGATAGCGGCGGCGTCGGCTGGTCTGATGCGTGAGAGTTTTGCGATGGGCGGTGCCTAACCTGATGTGAGAGGACCTGGTTGAAGTTGCTCGGTATCGTATCTAGCGTCACCGACGACGCCGCTTCCGCTGTAGAGGCTAACGGGGTGAATGAGATCATCCTCGCTTCCTGTACGCTATAAGTTGGCGACAGCGTGGAGCCAAGGGTCCCGGTCGTCGAAACGGACGCTCGGGAGGAGTCATGGCGGGAAGCCAAAGAGACGCGGGTTGCTGTGCTCATAGACGAATTGGACGAATAGGTAGTATTAGTTGATGGCGCTCGGCCATTCTTGGTTTTGGGTGAAGCTTGAGGGATGGTGAGGAAGTCGTTGAGCTGTGTGTATGATGTTGCCTTAGAGTTGGTTGATTTGAGCGAATTGCTAGTAGACAGTCTCTTCGTCTTCAGCTGCCGTTGGCTAGAGGATATGCTGACGTCGTCGCGGGAACTGTTGTCGTAGGACGGTAGAGAGGACCCTGGCCTAGAATAAGTAGTCTCGTCCGCATCCGACTCCGAATCGGTGAGCGACAGCACGCTCTGCTGCTGCCGATCGGAATCCAGGTTGCTCATGATAGAGGGCGTGGCTTTCGAAGTCCGCGTGTGCCGGCTCGATACGCTCGCAGGGTAATCATTTCTCGATAGTGGGCGCAACTGCATCGTACTTGGCGTCGTAGACCTATTGATGGTAGTAGTCTTACTTGTCTGCGAGGCGGTCCGGCTGTGCGTCCATCTATTGTCCGACTCGCTGGCCATAGAATGCGGCAAGGGAGTGGCCGTATCATCACGAGACGCATCCAGACCCTCTGGCTCGTACGTCCGGGCCGGCAAGCGTTGGCTGCTCGAGTGCGCTAGCGCCACCTCCGCCGCGTCCTCATCCTCCTCGTCCTCTTCTCTTAGATCTGTCACATGGCGAAACGACATCTTTTCGTAGTGATCGTACAGCTGATGGAGTCCGCTCATATCACTCGTGCCCTTAACGCGCTCCGCCCTCGTCGTGTCCGCCATCGGGTGAGGGTGGAGATCTGTGGCTCGGGGGGTCCTCCCGGGGCTCGTCGGGGATGCTGCCGTCGGCGACAATATCGTGTGTTGCGAAGGCGATAGGTGGGACATGATAGACGGCGACCGCATTACGTAGCCATTATTTAAGACGGGACCGACCCCATTGGAGTCTATAATATGGTCCTTGCGACTCCTCAGCCTGAGCTTCGAGAAGTCGAGCTTCACAGGTTTCTTCCTCTGCTGCCCCTTGCTGGTGAGCGTCCCGTCGATGTCTAGTAGTGCGCTGGCTTTTGCGGGCAGTCCCTTCGCCATCGCCGAGCTGGAAGTCTGCTGGGATATGGATAGCGGCACCTTGGAAGGCTCGTAATGCGAATAGGCCGTTGAACTCGATTGGGGCCGACGAGAGGAGTCCTCTGTGGCGGTATCCCGGCTCTTACTGCCGAGGGTGATCGCCGACCTCTTCGTCTTTAAGCTCTTCCAACGAGCGCTATATGCGCTGCGCAGTCGCCGCGGCATGACTTCCGACTCTTCCTCCCACGTAGTATTTCCATAATTTGTCCCAACGAGTTGGTCTTCATCCCCCTCCAAGACGCCGGACTGGCTGGCGCTGCTCTCGGATATCGATATACTAATGCCGCTAGTCGAGCCCGTCTCCCACGATCGTCCGTTATCCTTGCCTCCGATAGGCGACGCGGGCGCCGCCCTACTAGTTCCCAGTATCTTCTCGGCCTTCGAGAGGGAGTTCGAAATGGGTATGGGAGGCGCTTGCTTGGGCGGGCGCCCCGGCATGGGGAATGTGAACTTGGATTTTTGGCCCATCTTGCGTAGAACGAGGGACCAACACCTAAGCTAATGGACAGGACTTGAGCAGCTCGGCAGAGAGCCAATTCCGTCTCTCAAACCCGAAGCGACCAAGTTGAACTCAGCTTCACAATACGACAAAGTGGAAATGAGCCGAAAACCCCTCGCGTGGACTGCTCCCCTCTCCCTCTTCGGTAGGAAGCACCTGTACGAGTAGACCGACACGTGCGATTGGTGTCAGATGTCGGCAGCAATCCTTCTGTGCTGCGGGATTGCGGCTTGGGAGGTAAAACGGAGGCACTAGTCGCAAGGCAATTGCCGAATCGTCGTAATACGGGTAGGCGATTGGGGTGTCAGCTTAGGTAGGCTCTAGCCGGCATCTCACGAGAAGGCTCCTCTCATATCCCGTAGGTAGAAGAGCGTGCGGTTGTGGTCAGCATGGTATGCCTCGCCAATGCGGTGGTCTCGAATCGCTTCCGAGGGACGATGTTTGCGCGTTTCAACAACCGGGTTTGAAGGCGAAAATCCACGAATCGTATGTTCGGTGAACAGATGCGAATCTGCTCCGCATGCACCGACGGGCGCCGAAGTAGGTAGGTAGGTAGGTAGGTAGGTGGTGGTGCCGTGACAGCGGGCTCAGCTCCCTCTCTCCCTCCCTCTCTCTCTCTTTCTCTCTGTCTCTCTCTCTCTCTCTCTTCGCATATACAAACACGCGAGCTTTCTCTGTGTCTTGGCCTCTCTGACCTCTCTCACGCTCGCGCAACCAGCTATAGCTTCCTCAACTCAGGAAGCCCTCGTCCGATCCCAACATGAGGCTTGCGGCTGACAGCTCGCACGTTCGTCAATAGTGGACACGGGCGGTAGAAGAGATGGGAAAATAAGGAGGGACGAGGGGAAGGGCCACGAAGAAAAGAAAGTGACCTAGTATGCCGTTACGACACGGACAGATTATCTCTCTCTACGGCGCTGGATATATTAAAATTGGGGAATCCCAACAATGTACCCTTTCTCCATACAGTAGAGGCAGGTAGGTAATTAGTACTTGAGTGAGGGTACGGGGCGTTGGATTCGCTGGCATGCGTGCGCATCCGTATATACGAACCGACGAGTCCCTATGAGTAGAGAGACAAGGCCCTTAGTAACGGAGGCAGCAACAGAGAGGCGCCACCATACCACCACCCCTTCTCTGACTTGCATATGTATGTAAATGTATGTAGGTGTATGTAGGTAGGCGTCCTGATTCCTTCCCGGATCGCTGCTCAGCGGTACATAGTATTGGAGGAACTATAGGTGTCGACCTGACCTTGACCTGGTCACCAAGGCCGAAATCTGAGCGTGGTTTAGGGCGACGGACGAACCTGTCACCTACCCACTCACACGCCCACTCCAAGCCGCCGGCACGATGGGACGATAGGGGCACGGGCACAGGCACAGGGCTCCAGGCCCAAAGCAGCTCCGGTTGACCTTGCAGTTCCCAGATTGCAAAACGCAAACGAGCCGGCATGGTCGTCGACCCACCGGCGGCGACCTTGGCGCAACCCTGCAAAGCCTCGCACACCGACAGGCTCCTCTCGTCTCCCTATGCGTCGACACATCCCGCTAGCATGTCGTGTATGTGTACGTGTATGTGTATGTGTGTATGTTCATAGGTGCACAGATACACGACATGACATATGTCCTCGGCCTGGGGAGGTAATACACGACGGCCAATGTTGTGCTATGGTACGTATGTGTGCACGATACTCCACCGGGATGTGTGGATGCTTAGTACGTAGGCATGAGAAGGGGAGGATGGAGGAGGGTGGAGAGTGGAGATCTCGTTCGAAGAAGACCCCTGAATTCGACCCTTGCCCCCTGTTAGCTGGCCCTCAGTCTTTAGTACTTCAATATCGAATCGACGATACGCGAAAAGAAAGGGAAAGAAAAGGCACAGACTCGTAGGTGGTCGACGTAGTATCGCGCGGTGGGAACTAACAGCGATCAGGAGCAGCAAAACCAATAATTGGAAGAAGACCCCAACCAAAATACAATAAAGGAGCCAGAAATAAGAAAACCCGACGCGAAACTATCCGGACGTCAGTCGATGCTGTTCACGGTATCCCCGGTTCAATCAATACGATCCTCTCGCGCCGCTCGAAAACGAGGGCACCGTCGTGTGCTGCCGCGTACCCAATACCTAATAATGGCGCGCCTAGCCCGAGCGAGAAAGGGTCAAGTGTACAATTTTGATTAGGATCCGGCTGTTGGCCGGCTGGATTTATTGCCTCCTTAGGCAAACGGACAGGGTTCATGGAAGTCGGCGAGCCTGTTGACGATGGGATGGCGTCGACGAGGATTGGAAAAGAAAGCCCCTATCCCCGATTTTGAGAATAAAACAGAAAAGAGATTCCTGTGTTCGAGGAAAAGCACCAACCAGCTGAACGGTGGTGACGATGGCGATGACGATGATGGCTTGCAAGCAGGACCTCCGCACGTACGTACATATGCACACACATACGCATTATCATTACGACATGGCCCCATGAAGCCATCCCCGACAGCGTTGCCCGATGATAGTGTGCTTAAAGTAATGTCATGTATAGTACACCTATATATCACCCTGTTGTATAATAACTTAATGCCTGTTTTATTATCACTTATTACCACGTGTGCTCGCGAACAGACCCAAGTCCGTTCATCAGGACATGGAGGCGACGGCAGTATGGATTAATATGTAGGTCGGATAACCCTCTGCACTCGGCAATGCGTATATACTACGTCCAACAGCGTCCGCGGACTGGTGCCAACTAGGCAAGGAAACCACACGAGCCAGCCAGCCTGGCCTCCTCAGCCTCATCAACTCTCCCTTGACAGCTAGCAGTTGGTTGCATCTGCTGAAGAGAAGGCTGGCTGGCCGGCCGTTTACCCAACCGCCACCATCATCATCGCCAACAGCACGACGCACAAGATCTACGCAAGTAGCGTCCCCGGGGCATCTCCCCATGCCGCAAATAGACAGCCTATCGAGCCTCCGCCGATTCGCTATCGAATCTCGATGATTCCGATAGGCGCGGGCGTACAGGCTAAATCTGAGCTGCCCAGCCACATCGCACAGGACCCAACGAAGGTCCCCCCGAGCCCGCGCACCTGGGAATAGCTAGTCCGCCTGTCTCTTGTCTGTGCTGCTCGTCTGGTCTGATCTGGTCTGGTCTTGCAGGAGTCGCCCACATGGCAAAACCTGCCCCATCTCTTCGTTCCCTCTCCGTCTCGTATGCGCGCTCAGACATTTTTAGCCCCAGATAGATAATTACCGGACGACCGCCGCAGGCGTATGCGTGTCTCAGTCTCAGCCAGCGTGAGGCGGACACGGACGAGGGTTGCCTTAAACACGCGTGCCCCCACTCCCATCTCTCTCTCTCTCTCTCGTCCTCTTCCCCTTCCGGATCTGCAGCGCGGGACGTGGAGCGACGCCGCGCCGGCGAAATATTTATGCATGCTAGGTGTCGACCGAGGAGAGAAGGGCAGAAAAGAAACACACGCCCCTGGTCCCGCTCGTTCATGCGACATGCAAACGACAGCGACCGTAGCAGCACATCCATCAGGAGGTCGGTAGGTATGTAAGGAGTACATACATACAGACCTACTCCCCCGACGTTATACACATACGATCTACCTACACATACTACCTCGCTATCTACTGCAGACGTCCATCCCGCCAGCCCCGTCCCGCGCGCCTCCCACGCATCACCTCCCCTCCCCCCCCCTTCTCTTCTCAAGGCTTAACCCAGACCGGACAGGCGCCCGACCACGGCGTCTCGATCTATACAACACTCGCCCACCCGCACGCACGCACGCACACACAAAACAGCGACTAGGCGAACGGCCCAGCTGGCCGGGAGTCCTCTCCCTTTCCAGCTACCGCGGCGCGCGAGAGCGAGAAGCGAGCCTGTCCTGGCCGCGAGGAGCGGCTTCGCCGGCTAGCCCGGCCGCAGCGAGGGGGAGGAGAACGCTCCTCTAGCCTGACTAACACCTGCCAATTCGGCGTACCTACGAAGCGACGAGCCGCGGTTAGTGATTCCGCTTTCCATTGCTGCGATTATTTTCAGCTCCCTCCGTGCAAGGCTCCTCCTAACTCCTCCTTCTCCTCCTCCTCGGCCGTCGAGCTTCCCCGCAGCGGTAGGGACAATGCATGTCATGTTACCCCCTTAAGCATGCGTGACTCGCAGCCAGCCGCCGCCCCGTTCGTCATGGCTTGGAGCTTGTCCTCCCCCCCCTTTATTTGTTTGTGTGCATGTGTATGTGTTATCGTTTTCTTTCCGACGCCAGTTGCGTACGTGCATGTGTTCTCCGCGCACCGTGTCACGAGCCACGGAAAGGAACAGAAGGCGTTGGACAGGGACGCGACAGAGAGAGACAGAGAGCCCGACTGCAGGCGGTCTCATGCGAAATATGACAGGTAAACACGTAAGGGGAGTAACACGTCAATCTCTGGGCGGGAGGAGGGGGTCATCTGCTCTGCCGTGCGCGGAAATTCAGGCATCGCCGTCCCATGGCGGCGGCATCTCCTTTTTCCTTGCCTCGGCGCGCTCTCGCTACGGGTGCGGCTCGGTGCGGTAACGATGCAGACGGCCATCTAACAGAGCCTAGACCTTTCTCACCCCGTCGGCGTGTGGGCGCGATGGACACAATATACCTAGGTGTGGCACCCACACACAACTCCATGCCTACATACACACACACACACACACATACACACGATGCCAGCAGACGGGTTTTCGGCCATTCTCCCCCACCCACCTCGTCTCCCCCCCCCCCCACCACTACCACCACCGTCGTTTGACGCGACAGGCAATCTGGCGCCGGCCGGAACGCGCGCGCGCGTCGTCGTGGATGTTGCAATCTCCTCGCACGATGGCGGCCGGGTGGGCGGATGTGTAGAGAGTGGTAACACCCACAATCTGACGGTCCGCGCAGCAGATTAATGACTCTCTCTCTCTCTCGCGAATAAGCATGCCCCCAGCCGACATGCGAAAGCAGAGAGGTGCGTGTGTATATATGCGTGTGTGTGTGTGTGTGTGTGTGTGTGTGCTGTTTGTCTCTCTTTCTCTCTGGCCGGGTCTCCTCCTCGAGCCTTCGCAGACGGCTTACACTGTACACGGCTCCCCTCCTCTCCCTCCCCTTTTCTCCTTGGGTTTCATTTGGTTCATTTCTTTTCATCTTATTCATCCGCCCGCGCGGCGCGGGGGGCTAGGTCCTGTTAAGCACAAGAGCCCGCTTCGTCGAGGGACGAACTACACGTACGTCCTGCTACTCATCGACTACGGCATACTACTACGCCTCCTGACAGCAGCCTAATCGAATATAGCAGAGCCAATAACAACACTATTCCCGACTAGCAGCCAGCAAGTAGCAGCTAACAGCCACACAGCGGCATCGTGATACCGTAGCATACTTACTAGACCGTTGCGTAGCACTCTGTAGTGGTAATAGTGGTGATAAGCGGCAGCGGTGGCAGCGGGAGTAATAGTAGCATTAGATACTACCTACATCGGCCAGGCTGTCATCGAGCACCCAACCGACGCATGATTTCCTGGAAATTGCATGACGTCTCGCTTACTGTGGCCGGCCTAGAACAAGAAAGCTCGTCGATCGAGCGGAGGGGGGTCGAGCAGGGAATGCCATCCTTCTAGCCCTCTTTCACCACCCCTCCCGCTCCCCTTCCCTTCCCCCAGCGTCCCATCCATGCCCGCCTTAGGGATGTACTCGTATGTGTATACATAGATCTGAGATACGAAGCCGTCTTCGAACGAAAAGCCACGAGGGACGATGGATGAAGAGGAGCGATGGAAACCCATCCCTACACACACAACGTAAACCCGGGTTATAGGTATACACGCGCACGTACATATGTACGTCTCCACGGGGTCTATCGGGAGGATTCAATCGCCGCGTGCCTCTCAGGCAGCCTTCGCGTCGATTGACTACCCTTACCAATGTCCAGAGCAGCAGCGGCTGACGGAAGTTTGAGATGGTCATCGACATAAGCACTCCATGCCTCTGGTTTTTTGTTTTTAGTGGGCTTCGTCTGAGGAGAATAAATATATATATATATAACACCACGATTATTGGGTCCGAATGGAAAATCAATTGGATTACGAAAAGGAAATGAAGATCGTGATCTCGCGGTTGGCATCCTGACAACCGAGCCACGATCCGGGGTAGGTACAAGCATGCCACGCGTATGTATGTGCCGCCCGTCCCCCTTTTCCCTCATTATTATGATCATTATTCTGCTCATCAACGCGCGCACGCACACACACACTCCCTCTCTCCGCGAATTCAACCTGGCATGTCCAGCCACCGTCACGTTGCCGGTTACTCCCCAAGCACAAGCCCCCCCCCCCCAAGTGCCGTGCCAAGTCCGCGTCGTCGTACCGAGGGCGTCGCATATGTACGACAGCGCCCAGTAATGTCCACAATTGCGTGGGCTCGCGAAAAAGAGAAAGAAAAATTTTCTGATATCCACTGTTTCAAGTCGGAAGCTCGCCCGTTTGTCGTGGCAGGGCCAAGAGAAAAAAAACAGCCGTCGCCGAGAGGCGCCCGCCGAAGGCAGGTATCTGTGTAAAACGCTGTCGTATGACAGGGCAAGTGAAGGTCGGACTTGGCAAATCGCGACGTTGGGCTAAGGGAGAAGAGCCGCCACCTGCCTCGGCTAGATGGCGCGCCAGTGGTCGAGCCAGCTCATCTCTCGGACGCGGGCCCCGAGGAAGTCGAGCAGGCGGCGGCCAGCGCGCGAGCCGATCTCCTGGCCGTCGCGGGCGCGCAGCACCGGCTCGTCGCCGTCCAGCGGGTTCCGGACGTAGTACATAGCGCTAGTGAAGGCGAACGTCTCCTTGCAGTACCAGGACAGCGCGAACGGGCGCGGCGACGGGGCCCTGGAGCCGCCCCACCAGCGCGGGCAAGGCAGGTCGGAGCGCGGGGGGCTCGACATGGTGGCCTGCGAGGGCGAACACGGTTAGCGAAGGGGCTAGGGGGCTAGGGGCTAGGGGAACAGAGGTAGGAAAGGAAAAGGCGCAGGGGAGGGGGATGTGGATGTGGATGGTACGAACGTAGCCTTGAAATCCGCCCGAGTGTGCAATCGAGAAAAACAAGACGACCGTTCTCGCCTCGGCGTATGCCAGATCAAGAGATTCCTCGTGCTCGCGGTGCGTGGCCCAGAGCGAGTCCCGCTGAGCGCAAAGGATCTCTTCGGCCGATGTAGCCTTGAGCATGAAGAATCGAACCGCTGGGGGAGATCGCGACAACTGTTAGTACGGTCACCGGTACGATGATCCTGGGGCCCCGGGACAGAGACCCGTGAGGAAGAAGGAAAAGAGAGGGAGGGGGGATGCTTACGGCCATAGCCGCTCAGTTGCAACTCCCGGGCCCGAATCAGCGGCGAGTCGATCGGATTGTCGAATCTGCCGCCTTGCCACACGATGGCAGACAGGCTCGAGGACAGGAGCGAGGCCGGGGGCGCATCGTCCGCACTCTCGCGCAAGTCTCGACCGGTGCGCGGCCGCATCGCAGGAGGCGACTTCGATCGTCGGTCTGGGACACGGCTCCGAGACGCGGAAGCCACGGGCTGGCCGGGCGCCTGGGCGCCGCCGGCCTGACGTCCGAACGGCAGCAGTTCCCCGGTCTTTTTCTCGAGGGGTTGGATCTGGTCGTCGGCCTGGGCTCTGTGCGGGCGCAGCGTCTCGACACGGGCCGTGTCGTCGGTCAGCTTCAGCCAGCCGATGGCCCGGGTGCCATCGGCGGGGACGGGCAGCGTCGTGTTGCCCGGGCCGGCACGAGTCGGGGCTGGGGCGCCGCCAGAAGCACCTGCGGCGACGCTCTCGCTGCGACCGCGTGTCGCCTGGAGAGGACGATACAGCGAGGTCGCTGTTGCCATCTGGATGCCTCCCGGGCTCGGGGGCAGCATGCCTTGATCTCGTCCTCCGGGGGCAACGCCGCTGCGGGGCTGACTGACGCTGGGGCCGGGAGTCGGGTTAAGCGTGTGATCCATAGGTGCTTAAGGAGATTTTAGCTGTGACCTCAGGAAGTGCTGATGGCGGGTTGAGGGGAGCAGGAGGGATTTGAGAATGCTCTGATCTGATGGGTAGGCCTCAGAGAGAGAAGGCTTCCAGGACTGTTGGAGGAAGACCAAATACCTTGGGTGAGAGCTTCCCTTCCGTGTTCTTTCCTAGGGGTTTGGTGATGCTAGGAATGATTATAGAAGGGTGGATCCCAGGGAAAAAAGATGAACCTGATGGAAGAAAAAAGGGAGAAGTTGTGGGAGAAAATCGCCTACTGGCAACAGAGAAAATAATGGGTGTGTGTGGTCATGCTAGGGTTTGAAGCTGGAGTTCTGAGGTTTGTGGTGGGAGTGGTGTCCCGGGTGATGCCCCATCTAAACGGCGCTTCATGATAGATTCAAAGTTGCTACTGCCAGGCTCACCAGGGAGAACTTCAGCCCTAACTGAGAGCACCTTACTAATATGGCGGATGAAAGATACTGAGAGGCTGCGCTGGAGATGTGATTCTGTCGACGTCACAGAGATCAGCAATACTAGGTGTGAACATTCAAGTAGACAAAGCATAGATCATCAGCTTCCTGCATCTATTCTCAGTCTACAGGAGAGGGCTACAAAGAGGATATTGTACGGTTGACTCCTACTTGAGTAGACTATATACTCTATGTCCTGAGCTTAGATCTCGTAACACCTATCGAGTATATATCAGCGTTCGGACAGACTAGTTGGTCCATAGTTGGCTCTAGACCCCTTGCTATTTCATGCAGGACACACAGGATGAATAAACACTTCGAGTTTCGAGTTGTTGAATAGTAGAGGAGGATGGTAGAGAGAACTATTATCGTATATAGGCGTATTGGAGAGAACACAGCCATTGTGTAGACCTTGCATACTATGCTGGTGGGAGGAAGGAGGCATACAAGACCCCTTGGATGGAGGCGTATATGACCATGAACCTCACTACGTTGCTGCCAAACGTGGACGTCTTCTTGTCGCTGATGATCCCCGCCAGCCACCAGTACCAGAGTGGATAGCCCGACGAGATCCTCGTGATGATTTGGACATGGTAATTTGTGATGGCTAGAATGGCCACGATGAGTTGGGACAGGGCCATGGACCGGACTAATACCGTCGTATTCGCCATGTACGCCGGTCTGGACTCCTCGGTCGTAAGGTTTAACGGCTCCTGGATAAATACCAGTCCCGATTTCATGAGCAAGCAGAGCATAGGAGTAGCTAGGAGGAACAGGGGTATGTTTGATGGAGTCCAGTAACGAAGGAAACCGACATTCCTGTTCGAGGTGTAAGCGGCGCGCCACCTATAGAGAGAGAACTCGGTGCTTACCAATACCGTTCTTGTACAAAGGAATATATGCTTGGAAGATAGTTCGTGCACCAAGGCCGTAACGATGCCTGGGACGGAATCGAGCAGAAGGCCTGATAGGCGGCGACCTGGGGCACTACGAACCCGGTTGCCACCGCGAGACCTCCGAGGATGAGAGAAAGCCGTCGCCGAATACTCGTTAGGGTGGGCGGCGCCGAGAGCTCCCTCAGCAAAGCGACGGCGAACAGGACCCCGTTGAACAGCCCATTGCTGCGGAACGTGGTAGCAAACCCGAACCACATGCCCGAGGCGATCAGGCTCACGTCGTGGGCGACGGTGCGCTTCTGGTCTTGAACACCCTTCGCGAAGAAGAGGTGGCCGACAAAAGACAGGAGCGCGAAGGTGCTCTCGGCGTACGGAGCCGATAAGAAAAGCCCGGCCGGGGATAGGACGTGGAGTAGTGCCGCGATGAAGGATGGCCGGGGGTTCCTCCACACGACCACCCCAAGCTGGTACAAGACCAGCACCGAGAGTAGGTGAGATACATGGGCCACGAAGATTCCAATGAGGGGCTCGACGGGACGAGAGGTCCTGAGACCGAGACCAGAAAGAACTGTGGGGATCGCATCAGGTACACCATAGAGATCGTGGGCAACAGCGACATACCTTGGGCGATGGAAGAGATGACGGTTGGGAGACCTGTACCAAACGCCCATTCCTGCTCAAAAAGGTAGCCTCGGCGGGCGGCCTGGGTGAAGTAGATTGAGTCCCATCTCGTGAGTTTTGTGGCTAGGTCGAAGAGGAGTTCGTCGGGAGAGGCCGTCTCAGGGGCTAACAGAGTGCTCGAGGTGTCGTAGGCCGGCCCGACACCGCTTCCCAGAGCCACGGCTAGCAGAAAAGCCTTCCAGGTTACGAAAGAGCCGACCAGCGACGAGATGGGACTCTGCGGGTTCAGCGAGAACATGATTGAGGTGAGAGAGGGCTCTTATAAGCGCTCGTGCAAGTGGGCGTTGGAGGATCTCAACCGACACCGACGGCGAGAAAGCGCAGCAAGCTCACGGCCCAAGTGGCGCTGATGTTAGGTACTTCCATGGCAGGCTTCAGGAGGTGAGCCACAGTGCAGCCACAGTGTAGCTGTAGATGCAGTGGCCTACCTTACGTAAAGGTACCTAGGCACCTAAGGCATGAGGTACTCATGTACATGTTTGTGTCTAATCAGATGTGAAGCTGCATAAAAATAGAAATGTACACTATCGAAATATTTTCGTTCGAGATCTTGAAGATTGTTGGCCCAGTAGGTAGATCCTAATTACCTGCCTAGCCATACCAATATATGTATGTATGCCTTCAATAAATACCTGCATCAGGTACCCCTAAGAGCTATGTATGTACACAGTTGCCAGCGAGGTATGCCTTCGACTGTTACCCGCACGTGGCTCGGGATAATAGTCATCATTAATTCATTTACCTTAGGTACCTGCCTCGGCACGGTACTGGATTCCGTAGCGATGTTAGCGTACTGCTCGCGCAACCACTCGGCGGCGAGTCGTGCCCGAGACCGAGGCGAGTCATCTGCTGCTGATCGTGAAACGCGTGAAGAATCCCGCCGTCACGAAAAGGCTAGGGCCAAGTGGTGATCGAGCCAGCCCCGTTGTACGGCGTGTAACGGCCTCAGCACCTCTTCGCTGCTGATTCGCCGTGCTCGCAGGACCTCAATGTTCCCGTGGTCTTTTTCGTTTCTACGCCGTTCTCACTATGCCATCCTCACGCCTCCTGCTCGGTCTGACCTTAGGTAGGTACTCTATCGCGACGGAGCGGATGGTACCTGTTCTATGGGTTCGGGAATCCGACTAAGCACGCACGTCATCAGCAGGGCAAGTCATAGATAGCGCAGCGTGAGCCGCCTTCCACGTTGGTGGTGGTAGGGAGGGTTGGATCAGCGCCATCCAGGGTGGACACGGCCTATCGGTTCCCATCGACCAAGCCCATCTCAACTCTTGTTTTAAGCATAATGGTTTGAAACGCCGTCTCTCCAGGGCGCGGATTGGCTTTTCCTCTGTCCCGTCTCGGACTCGCCTCGTCCTAGCTGGGAGAGCTGAGGCAAGCCGAGGTTCCCGAAAAGGATGGGCGGCTGGGGAGGCGTCCGCGCCAATTCGTACGTGGCTAACCGCGCATAACGCACATGACGGACCGGCTGTCTGTGATGCCCTCTCTGGCAAATCCCGCCCTGCGGAGACACTCGTGAGCTGTCGCCGTCATTGTCTTACACGGATATATTCGTAGGTGTCGGTCATTCGTTGGACGTAATTGTGGCTTGCCTGGGGAAGGAGAATGAGTGGACTGGGATGGGGGCATCTTTACGAATATATTTATGAATACGCTCATATATATATAGACTCTGCTATATAGTAAGAGGGCGAGGTGAGAGAAACCAGCCAAGAGTAAGGGCCGTGGTTAGGTGCCTTAAACGTTAGTAATCTCACCCTCTGCGAGCGATAAGTCCGATGTACACGAGGGAGCAAGAGTCTGCCAACCGCCGAGGCGTTAGTGATAAGATGGTAAAGTCGTAGGGCGGTAGGATCGGGATAGGATTAGGGACTAATCCGCCCCGTTCCCCGAAGCGGTAGACAAGGGGAGGAGGTGTGGTAGGGATGCCGTCTAGTGGTGAAGTCATCTAGGTTAAGTCGGCCGAGCCCGGTCTGGCACATGATTCCACGGTGGTCAGACTGCCAGCGTCGACAGCCAGCACCGACTGCCGTATGGGATGGACGTACGTTCCATTCACCGACTCCTCCTCGCGTGCGGCGATTGGGCGACGGCTGGTCACCGACTGCTTCGCACACACACTCAACATACATACATTCGCCTAGAGTACAGCGGATGTATGCAGGTGTGAAGGTGTGGAGGAGGTAGGTATGGTACGTTGCAGTCTGGGTACCGGCTCTGCCTATGTAGGGGGATGCAGACTAGGAGAGGCAGAGAAGTCCCTATTCGGTCGACGGCCACATGTGTGTTGGGTTGGCGTCCCCGCTAGATCGACAGGAGCGAGAGCGAATGCAGTTAGGTAGGCAATATGAATCTGTCTCTGGCTCTCTCGCTCCCCTGTCGCCGGTATTTTCGGTCTCGGCCACGAAAGCCGCATCAACTCGCTGCCTGGCCCTTGCTGGACGCCGTCGATCCGGCGCGGTGTGCACGTACAGACGACAAAAATCGCTCTCTCTATTTTTGCGGGTGGCGCGCGCGCGCGCGTGTGAGGAGGCTCGGGAACGTCGGAAATGTCGAGACGATAGCTGCTTGGACCTGAGAAGAAGCGCTCACCAAATGGGTTTGGCAGACGGCCGGTGGGTTGGGAACGGAATGGTCGGAGCACATGACAATATATCATCGGTCTACTAGTACATGGTGGGAGGGGTCCAAGCCCTAGTGTGGGCCGCTGAATATGGTGGGAAACGGAGGAAGGGAACTGGAGAAACGGATGGATGAGCCCCTCGATCGGTACCTACCCAGCCGCCTACCTGAGGTGGGCAGCATAAGTACCCAAGACCGACGGCGGCTGGCGACACGGCCGGCCCCATGCACGATGCGTCGGTGGGATGGGCAGCTAGAAACCCCGATCAACGACCATAGGATTAGAATATCGACAGTAGTTCTGCAATGGTATCGAGATATTGACGCAGCAGCCAGGTAAGGTGAGAGTAACTAAATAAGGTCATCGTTTCGAAAGGGCCGATGGAGTTACGGCAAAGCGTGACAGCCGACGAGCTGCTGCGACTAGCATGCTGCCTGCCGTCTTCTGGAAGCCTGGGGAAGCTCTCGACAGGGCTGTTCGTTCTCCCTTCATCCTCCTGCGATCCCCTGGCCCTCTCCGTTATTAATATGCCTTACTTACGTGTAAGTTCTCCGCACGCTGTAAGCTGGTTCCCTGAGCCTCTGTGGTTTCGGCAGCGACACAATGGCTGCCGCCGGACCTGTACCCACCGCTGGCTGACTGGTCACCTAGGTACCTCAGGTAGGCACCTAGATGATGTGGTTAGGTGCCTCGGGTCGGGCCTATCTGTGTCTACATGCCTATATGTACAGGGCCCGTACGTACCTGTAGGCGGACGTGGACTAGCGAACAGCCAAGCGAGCACCTGTCCGCGCATGCATGTTAGTGTAATAGAGGCGGCGCTGCGTCTTACCGACCTTCGCTGTCGCCCCGAGTTGCGAGTCGGGCTGGTCCACCTTTGCTTGCCCACCAATTTCCGATCGATTCTGGCGGACTCTCTAGCCCACCACATAGTGGGCTCTAGTGGGCTCTAGTGGGGGGGCTCAGCGGGTGTCTAGCGGATATCCGTCTCCCTCTAGCCTGTGACCAGCCGCGCTGAACTCGTCAACAAGCTGTATGTATGCGCGTGTAGGTATGTGTGTGGATATACCTGTGGATGTATGTGTGTTATGGGTATGGTATTAGGTATTGAGTTGTATGTAGGTAGGCGCAAGGCCTCTAAGATAGGCATACATACAGCTAATGTGGTAGGCCTCCCCGCCGGACCCTCGGAGGATCAGTGAGATCCCGTCTCCATCGTCCGTCGAGCCTCGGAAATGATTTTCGCTTTCGCTTTGCAGACCAGCTCAACCTAGCCAGATCGTGCTTGTCGTCATGTCCTCGCTCCTAGATCTCTCTCTCTCCTCTGATTTCCACTCACACACCTGCGTACCTCGCGCTTCTATTGTAGATACATGCCACTTATCCGTAGCTAATACCTACCTCCTACCCACATCCAGACTGACAATACGCACGCGTGGTTGACCATAATAAACCAGCCCGCTGCCCGTCCAACCCCGTCCGCTTTCTCTTCTCTTCTCTCATTCTCTCCTGTTTAGCCGTTGGAGACTGATTTGTTGGCCAGTTTTCGATATTCTTCCTCCCCCCCTTGTCCTGTCCGTCTTTCTTACTTTTCCCTGTATTGTGGCTCGCCGCCACCTGATCACGATTCCGTGTTATCGCATCAGATCAGACATCAGACATCTCCAACCCGTTCTTCCCTGCAATCGACCGTTATTATTATTCTCAATTCGGTGTCTTACTTGTCGCGCCTCTCTCTCTCTTCTCTCTCTCTCAGTTATTACGTACCACACAGTTCTCAACCCTGTCAGCAACTCTCTCTACTTTACACACATAACACAGTTACCTGCTTATTCGTATTCTTATTCGACAAGCTCTCTCCCGCTCCACTCCTCCCTACCCCGTTGTCTCTCTCTCTCTCTCCTCGCGCCCTTCTAGAATCGCTTATTCGCGAAAGAACTCACACTGCGGGTCAGACATCCAGTTGTCGTGAGTGGGAGCCGAGACCCGAGAAGACGCTCGGCTGCGAACTCCCACCTTGAGAATATCTGCGAGTCAGCCAACGAGCCAGCTACACACATAAAGACACGAGACGAGAGCGAACTGGCAACCTCGGATCCGAGTTTTGCGTCTGTGGGACCTGACGACACCGACGAGAGAAAGCCAGACGATACAAATATATACATATAGAGTGGCACATACGTGTGTGTGTGTGTGCACATCTAAACCTACTGTTCCTGACTTACTACGTAGTATATACGTATGGATGTATGAGCGCATGTATGGGCGTGCACCCCATGGCTTGACGGCGATCCGGTCCACTCGTGCCTCGCTCGCTCACGCAGACATACCTGCCTACACGCGACTCTCACCACCAATCCCCTCCGAGCCACCCCCTGAGCCGGACCCTCTCGCACCCCCTGCCCTCATCTGCCCTATTAAGGTCCCCTGGCAGCCCTAGTCCCGGGTCCTTACGCGTTTCCCAGGCAAGCCAAGCAGTTCCGCCTGTCAGGTCGTCCTCAGCTCTCCACTTTATCAACCTCCTGTCCGCCGCTTAACCCTCAACCGGCCCCACGAGGAGGTGTTCAAGTCCCTATCTGTGTGTTGCGACAAAGTCCCCAGTGTAGCGCATCGAGCCTACCCTGAATTATTAAGTTCCAAATTCGTCCTCGACGGGGATCGCCAATCGACCAGGCCTTCTGGAAAAGCTTGGCTTCCTTGCGCCAGTCGTCTCTTATAAGCGAGTGCCGGGGGGAGACGGGAGCAAGGGAGAAAGGTTGATGAGTTGACGGTTATTAGGAAAAGTCATGGAATAACCATCACTCTCATCCGATATTGCTTCTTATATCCATATACTCGCCCGTCGAGGCTGCTCAATACTATCCATCGACTCGACATTTCCAATTACTGACCACTACCTACCTACCTTACCACACTGCCTTCCTCTTCCCTTTCGCGCAACACAGCTATAGAAAGTGACGATCTGGGCGTTGATGGCTGTTTCTTCATGATGTTTCTGCACTCGGGAGCCAGCCTGCACGGCCATGAATACTCGAACCGACCTGCCCCCCAACCCGGCCCGCGACGCCATCCGCTTCTGCGTTCTGCTCTCACGCCACCTGTTAATCGAACATCGTCTTATCCCATCAGTGCCGAAGAATCACCACCTAGTGAACCCGTTTCGCCGAGCGAGAAGCGGAGGAGGCCCCTGTCTGAGCACCTTCCGCGCAACCTCGACGCGGTCGTGAGATTTCGGGAGCCTGCTAGATGCTGCTCGGCGGCGACCGTTGCGCGGCCCGAAACGATGAGCGAAGAGGAGGACATCTCCTCATCGTCCGAGGGCGAGGTCAGCGAGATTTCGTCTCCGGCTCGTCGCACTCGCCGGAGGACCCCCCGGAAGAGCACGACCTACCTCCTCGCCCATCCCCCGCCGGGGCCGCGCAGCAAGCAGCTAATCCGCATCCGTCCCAAGCTGCTCCTCCAAATACAGCAGCTGTCCGCCAAGACGCGACCGACCCCCATCATTGACGTGTATCCTTCCTCTGCCATCGCCAAGTCCCTGATTGTACCCTTGCTGAAACGCTTTCCTCTCATTGCGGGCATCAAGAAGGAGCTGGGCATCCAAGATGTGATGCTAGTGAAGAGCGAAAACTACGCGATGAGGACTTCGGTGGTGGACAGCGAAGACGACGAGGACACTATCAAGTCACGCGAGCTGCTCGCCATCTTTAGTCCGTCGAGGGTCGAGGATAAAGCTGAGGTGGTGTTAGCCAACGGGACTGTCTGGGTTGTTACCCCGCGGCTCAGCGGCGGCAGTGTCTACTCGTATGAGTTCGTCTCTGTCGACGCGAGCGGCAACACGATCAAGGCGCGATGGGTTCGTAGGCAAAATACCCCCTCCGCTTCGCGATCGACGCCGGGCACCCCAACCTCACCTGTCGCACCGTCATCGGTGCTGCCCTCGACAGACCATAAATTCACCTTTAGCATCATCGATCCGAACTCGCGGCGCCATCCCGTCCTGGCCACGCTCACGAACACGTCGCTCGACATCCTCGACAGCTACACCACCGTCTCACCATCCTCTAACAGCTACCCGCCGACGTCACCCTCCGCCCCCGGGCCCAACGGGGAACCCAAGGGCTCGGAGCGGACGACCCGGGAAGTGGAGGGCTGGCAGAAGTCCTTTATCACGATATCTGCCGTCTGGGTTATCCTGCGTCACGGTTGGTGCCCGAACTGCAAGCGGGAGGACGTGGGACCGCTCTCGTCCGCGTCCGCTTCGTCACAGGCGGACGCGAGCTCGTCGGGCCGCAACCGATCCTCTAGCAACATCTCGGACGCGGCCGCCCGAGCCTGCGGCGTCCCAGACGCAAGTAACCGCCGCCGGTTTTCAGGCGCCCTGAGGATGAGCGAACCGCCCTCGCCGGCCGGTCTGCCTAGGAGGACGATGTCGAGCGGGGCCTCGTTCGCACAGAGGCGCAGCGCCCTGGCCGACAGCGGCGAGCAGTCGGGCTCCGGAAGCGGCAGCGAGCCGACATCTAAGGCTGCTAGGAGAGCCTTCAGCGGCGACTGGGGCGTGGAGCTGGCTAACCGCGGCTCCCTAACCGCGATCATGGACCCTCCCGCCTCGTCCTCCCAGCCCCGGTCGGCCCCGCGAGGTGCCGAGCCCAGCGACAGCTCGCCGGCCCCGGCCCCGGCCTCGAATCCGGGTGCGACGAGTGCCGGGGGCCAAGCCAGGTCGGCGCACGTCTCGCAGGGCAGCACGCCCGCCGCTAGGGGCGGGGCCATAGCCATCGAGCTGGTTAAGAACCCGGCGGCCCCGAGCGGCTCGCGCGAGCCCGCGGCGGGCGGCACGACGCCGGCGGCGGCAGCGGCCGAGCAGGAGGAGCGCAGGTCGAAGTGGAGGAGCATGACGAACTGGCTGCGCAAGCTGCAGGGCCGATAGAAGGGCTTGTGCTGCCGCTGCTGCTGACAGACTCTCAGGAGGTCGATGGCATTTCCTACGCACATTACGCATACACATATACCCATACATACCCGCTCCCCCCCCCCTAACACACACACACATGCTCGCACGCTCTCTACTATCCTCTATTCTGTTGCATGACCTGGAGTTTTTGGGATAGAAAATAGGCCTAAGTCGGTGGCGGTTTCGGATGGATGGATGAATTAACGGCAGGGACGCCGGAGGGATCCAAAGAGAGAAAAAAAAGAAAAACAAACCACAAAAAACTTTGTATCGATCTGTCGATCACCGAGTTACATACTCGCAGCGAGTGCACGTCTCGAGCTTCGAACCGATCCCGCCGTGCTCGGCGATGCGAGCGCGCGAGTGAACACGCATACATATATATACGCACAAATACCAGCAGAAGCGGCCCCTTCCCTTCCCCAACCCCTTCGGCCCTCTCCCTCTCTCGCCCTCGTCGAAGGCAGCATACCCGAGCGCGGCACCCGCTCTCGGACTAGCTCCGGCGCTATCCTGCGCGCCGGGAGGTGGACGATGGACACGGAAACGTGAGAAGGAGAAAATGGGGGAGGGAGGAGTGGAAGCGAGGTCGGTTTCCGCTAGCGTAGAGGCGCGGACGCAAATATGTGTCTCTTTACCTGCTAGGGCACGAGAGAGTAGCGAATTTCCGAGAATTCCTAACAATATCAACGACGATAAGCATACCATCCCGAGCGTGATTACGCGTGTGTTTATGAGTGACGCAAATGCTATGTCTGTGTGATCAATGGAGAGGGCGGTAGGGGAGGGGTATGGCAGAGAGAGTTAAGTTCCTCTGGTTTCGGTATGCTTGGCACGGATATTGTACCTGACCTGAGGGAGGACTAACGTGTCAGTGTGTAGATTACTGCCGTCTGCGCCGGCGTATAGGTAGGTAAGCAACCTGCCTAGTAAGCATGCGTTGCCCATCCGTCCGTACTACGAACACACCGAGGTACTACAAATACCACGCCAACGGCTCGTCGTAGAGTTGCAGAGGCGCCGCTAAATAGGCTGGCGTAGCCGGTTGCGAAACGATGCACGAAGCTGGGTTGGGTTAGGCGATTCGGGGCCCTTGCGAGGCTCTCCTCTCGTGTCTCTCCCCCGGTCCAACCAGCCCCCAACCTCGTGGCCACCGGGCCGCTTTCGTCTCATCCTCGTCTCTCGGAAGCTGAAAAAAAAGGAAAAAAAAGGGTTCGCGGGGTAGGGGCCGGGGTGAGGACACGTGCTGCGCAGATAAGACGAAGGCCTACCGATGTGAAGATCGACGGGCCGCAGGCGTCGACGGCGGGGCCAGACGATGAGGGTGTGTGGGGGGGGAGGGGGGAAGAGGAAATGCCGATGACGGTCTGGCGGTCGCCTCGCCGGCGACCCAGCCGACAGGACAGACCGGGAGCGGAGGTTCCCTTTCGGGAAGCGAGCTCAACAGCCCTCGCCCCCCCGTCTCGCAGCCCACACGCGATGCGACGATGGAGGCGGAGTGCGAGCGGAGTTTGTGTGGCACGACGGCAGTGGGCTCTGGTCCCCTACCGCCCGGGTCTGATTTGCCAGAGTGGTTATGGGAACGTGGAATGGATGGACGCGAACATTCATCCCTACAGCCGCAGTGGAGAAGAATACTCATGGGACCCGATGTTTTGCCGGCGGATCGCGGTTCATCGGAGCTCATGACAAACGAATTAGACTCCCCTGACTGGACTAACCGGGTCGCTTTTGCCCCCAGAGCCAAGACCAGATCGCAGGGCCCTGCCTTTCTCGTAGTCATTGCCATTCTAGGTATGTTGTCTCGTGTAGCGCAGGTATATATAGGCGCTGGTGTGATCTAGACGGGGTGGTGTGTTCTTGCCAGTCGCCTCTCTGATACATAACCAGGCCTACGTAGTAGTTACACGGTCCCGTTGCTCTTCTACCATCTCTGATTGACTTAGCCGTTAAACGGTTGGCTGGCCTTGGACTTCTCGTTTCGACAAGGGCAGCTGCTTGGGATACGGCCACTGCGCAACGCCTCGAGGAAGCTCAGTCGAGCCAGGCCGACGCGGTGGCGATGCACATGCAGCAGAACGGCGGCTCTTCGACCGCGGTCATGGAGCTTGGGCCGATTTACATGAAGCCAATTCCGACGAAGCCAGAACCGATCACGGATGTCGCAGCCCGCGGACCGAGCCGCCAGACTAGTAGCAGAGACAGCGACGGCAGTGGTCTGGAGCTCGGTGACGGCCCGCCCCCAGACACGGCGGCGGAGGCCGTACAGAGATGGAACTACCCCCGAAAAAACATCACCCGGGTCGCTGCCTGCTTCTGGTGCTTTGTCGTGATGGGGGCTAACGATGCTGCTTATGGTGTGAGCGACCAAATCCGAAAGAAGACGGCGAACCTTGGCTAACGATTGCTGTGCTAGCCTCTAATCCCATATGTACGACAGCCCCCACTGCCACTATGGTGGCGTTGTCACCTCTCGGAGTTGATGGGGAATATCTAACACGGCACCTAGATTCAAGCCCACCATGGTCTTACGTACCTCGTTGTTTCGCTCATCTTTTTGACGCCGGCTGTGGGCTACACATCAGCGGCATTCCTGAATAACATGATCCATCTGAAGCTAGGCCAGAGAGGTGTTGCCCTGATGTGTTCGGGATGCCACATACTGGCCTACGTGCTCATGGCCGTCCACCCGCCGTACCCTGTCATGATAGTCGCGTTCATGATTGCAGGATTCGGCAACGGAATCGCGGATGCCGCCTGGAACGCGTACATCACCAACATGGAGCGCGCAAACGAGCTGCTCGGCTTCCTCCACGGCCTCTACGGAGCCGGCGCCGTCTTGAGTCCTCTCATCGCCACAACAATGATTACCAAGGCGAACTTACCCTGGTATACGTTCTACTACCTGATGGTGAGTTGGCTGTCCGTTTCGAGTTGGCGAACGGGGTCTGACTAACCCATTAGATCGGTATGGCCGTACTTGAGCTCATCAGTTCCGGCTTCTGCTTCTGGACGGCAACTGCTCGCGACTACAGGGAATCCATTTCCAAGCACTCCAGCACGTCCAACGGAAGCCTTAAAGAGGCACTATTCAAGAGACCCGGCGCTCGCGTAACCTGGTTATGTGCGTTGTTCTTGCTCGGCTACGTCGGCGCCGAGGTTGCCCTTGGTGGTTGGATCGTCGAGTTTATGATCCAGGTGAGGCAAGGCGAGCCTTTCGCTAGCGGGATGACGGCCACCGGATTCTGGCTCGGCTTGGCGATCGGGCGTGTCGTCCTCGGCTTCATAACGCCAAGGATAGGAGAGAAGCGCGCGATTATGGTACGTAGCGCCCCGGGGTCCGTCTTAGCGCACTGGAGACTTCGTTAACTTGTAGGCCCAAACTAATGCACATCGTCAATAGATATACCTCCCACTGACCATGGGACTCGAGCTCCTGTTTTGGCTCGTGCCTCAGTTCATCGTATCCGCGATCGCCGTAGGGCTTCAGGGCTTCTTCCTTGGTCCTCTTTTCCCTGCCGTCATCGTCGCGGTATCGAAGCTGCTCCCCCGACACCTCCACGTCAGCGCCATCGGATTCGCCGCAGCTTTCGGCGGCAGCGGGGCCGCGATCTTGCCCTTCGCTGTCGGCGCTATCGCCCAGGCTAAGGGCGTGCAGGTTCTACAACCAATTATCCTCAGCATACTAGGCATCATCTTGGTATTCTGGATTGCGCTGCCGAGGATGGATAAGAAGAAGGAGTGACAGAAAGGGATTAGACGACGGCTAGCCGTTCGAGGTACTGATGCGGTATGTGTACCTCAGTGATGGCATTATGTAAACGACTAGAAAAGACGGACTCGGCGTTGGGAAATATGATAGTCGGTCCGGAAGTTATCGGTAGTAAGGGTCCGCCCCCCTTCGCCTCCTAAGTCCTATTCATCTCCGAGCCACGCGGTGACGGTGACGGTGACGGATAAGCAATGCAGGTAGGGTCCGAAGAGGGTTCGGGCGTGTTGGCCACGGGCAGATTCGGAATCGAAATAGGTGATTCTGACCCAGGAGCTCCGGAAGGTCCAGAACACCGTCGTCGCATGCAGGCACCGTTATGTATGACTGGGACGATAAACGTGACAAATCCCCTGGATGGGCTGGCTCGGGAGTCGACCTGCTTCCTCGTAGCCGCCTCGGCCGCCCCGAATGGCTTGGCGGAGGACTGGGAAGGATGCAGAGAGGCAGGTCAGGCATACGCATGCAGCGCCGTTGGTGCACACTGCATCGACGCCTCCTGCCTCCCAGGTCTCCCCGGCCCGTCATATGCCCGGGTTCCTGTTATGGAGCTGAACCGCCGGGCCGCAAGCATACCTACATAGACTGTGTGTGTGTGTCGATATCGGTTGGGTGGTAGGTATCCATCCGCAGAGCACCGCCAGTTGGACCTTGTGCGTTGCCGGAAGAATGCCGGAGGGATGTCGCTGACGATGACGAGAGATTCGTCCACGGGTCCAGACCCGGCATTAGGCGACACGGCGTTGGCAGGTACATTACCGGGTACATCTTTACCCCTCTGTGCACATTTGCACGTCAGCACAGACCAAGTACCTTTAAAGTATCTACTGCGTTCACCTACTCGAGTAGGTACCCTGAGATACCCCCTGCTGCTACTGAGGGGCAGCCTGCAGCCTGCAACCGAGTGTCTACCAGGGTACCTACCTAGGTACCTCCGCTCCGTGCTTCCCGTCGCGATTGATCCATCGGCAGAGCTTCTACGACAGCAGCTCTTCAGGTGCTTAGATTAGGTAGGTATATGCCTAGCCCAGGCACCTACACAACTTAGGCACGTCGGGTAAGCCGCCTATGGTTAGGTGCCTCCTCCTAAGAGGAGGTATGCGTGTACAAGAAAGAAGATGCCCAGCCGGAATGGTGGGATCGATCTGTTCCATAGATGCCTCATATATGTATCCAATATCGGACCCATCCGTGGATGGACGCAATTCGGATGTCGGGAGGCCCCGGTCGGGAGATACTAGCTAGGACGAAGTTAGGCACCTACCTTAGGTTAGGTAGTGTTGCGAAGTGACAAGTCTATCCTGGGCAGTGTATGCAGTCTGTCGCTGGTCTCAAGGCGAGAGACGACGAATAAGTCCCAAGCCGTTGTGGCCGTTCGGTTGAACAGGAAGTTCTGAACTCGAACCGAAGGGATCTCATAACCCATGATCCCACCCCGTCTGCGTCCTCGAACCGCATCCCCACCCACATTTACCGGGGTGATTACACACCTGGCGGAGCTCGAATCGGAAGAGAAGAAATAGTATAGAACCAGTTGATAAGGCAGCGCATCGGGAGCGCGAGGAAACCAAAACTTGGAGGTGCGTTTCACGAAAAATGAGGTGTGATAGACAAGCCGATTGGCAAAGACCCTCTTCCTCACGCGCTTCTCTCTGGCTGGGGGGTGGTCGGATGCATTGGTTGGGACAGATGCTGGGCATTCGTCAACGGGGGATCAGCCCTGAGACTGCCGACCATACGTGCTTGACGTTCTCCGTTCCGATTATAGGCGCACGTCTTTTTATAGAGACCCGATTTCGTGACATCGACAACGCGCCCGTCCGACCGGCCTACTGAAGATTACTACTCATACCCACGCGTGCCTACGAGCCGAGTGGATTTGCATAACCACGCTTCCATCGGCGCTTGCTGGCCACCGCATGCAGGAACTGGAATAGAGCAGAGGATCAGCGGTGGCAAGCACCTCACCCTTTGGTCCAACCGGGATAGTCGACTCGGCTGCAATACCCGACACAGATCTCTCATGTGCGGAGGTGTGGATTTCAATATATAAGACCACGCCTGCCGCATCACCTGCCTGGGCAGGTAGGCGCATGCGACGATACCGATGGCGCCGTGGATGTGGCTCGTTAACGGCTTGCATCCGAGAAGCAGTTGAGTCTGGTGGGATGACACACGGCAGGCTTATTTGTTGCCGTTGGGGATGGGCAGGGGAGGGGGGGGTGTCCCCGATTCCGAAGGGACTTGGGTGTCTATGCAACCTGGGGTTATAAAAGAGAGGACGAATGGGCGTTTATTTGATTTTACCAACCTAGTATTACAATATTCGTCCCCTGAACATCGCGGCCGTGCCGGTGAGAAATCCACGAAGCGTTGAAGCCATTTCGGGACCAGAATAGCACATGCAGAAGAAACCGAGAATTAGACTGACTATAGGTACGTATGTGGACGACGTATCATCATCTACCTACACTGCAGACATGCATTGGGAGTTGCATATTATATTAGGCGTGTACCACCACGCCTTGGCCAAGAAACCGCAACGAGGTTCCGTAGGGGGAGCGGCATTTACAAGGTAGGTGTCTACTATATATAAGGAAGATACCTACCTATATATAGAGTTGTATAACTACCTAAGGTATATGCACACACATGTATATATATGAGGGGACGGATGGGAGGGATCCTATGTGTTAAGTAGGTATGTACTACGTTACCATGGAGATATGCCGACCTGCCTGCGTTGTAATTAGTAGGTACTTATCTATATAGGTAGGTGTGCATACACCACAACCCTATTCAGCAGAGACATCTCGCGTCCGGGGATAATGCTACACGGGCAACGGATATATAGAGCCTACCCGTAAGGTCCTCCGGAAGTTCCATCCCATCGACTGTGGTCCATCTTTGTCCCAGACGCACATCAGCAAAATTTTGGCCGAGTCAGGTTGCATCGGCGGTGGCAATCGATCAGTCAGCTGCATCCGTACGCAGTCATGGGCACCCAAACGGCACTACGGGGTAACCAAACCTGAGCACGGCATCCCTCGACGTTCTGGAAGTCGGTTGTTGGTCAGCGAGCCAGCCGGCCGGCCGGTCAGTCAGGGCGATCAGGTGAGGGCAGAGCAGACGAGAGCGTGACCCGGAATTACGCACCTCAGCTTCTGCCTCAGACACGGGTGGTGCGGGGGCGAGGTTACAGGAACATCAGGAACATCAGGGGTAGACGCTTCTAGCATACCTACCTCCTGGTAGTTGCATGACGGCATGCTAGAGAGCGGTGAAATCCCCCGGGACAGGTACCCAATGTAGGTATCTCCCCCCCTAACCCTAGGTACATACCTACACTACATCGATGCCGGCCGCTTGAGATCCAGCAGACGCCGATATTCGCATCATCGCCTGGCCTGAGGTGCCTTATGTAGGAGGTGCATATACGTTACCTGCCTACATATGATATGTAACTACCTAAGGTAGGTCAAGGTAGGTATGCCTGCATAACCTCACATCTGGCGATGGCATGGCATGGATGCACCCATAGGCGCATTCTATGCATGTACGTAGGTGCATACATGTCTTGGGGGAGGGTCGAGAAGTCCCGTCTCTAGTTTCCAACCCAAGGTACCTTGCCAACCTATCCATCTTACCGTCCACGCCTTGGATACCTACAGGTAGAGAGGTAGGTAGTTATCCCACCTCGAGTGCCCGATAAGTAATTCCGTCCTCGCTCTCTCTTTCCAACAGAGAGATCCCGTCTGTCCCTGTTTTTTCTCTCCTTTTTTCTTTGAGGCAGGAGGAAGTTGTCGGTCGGGCGGGCTGAATGCATTCGAAGAAGGCCTTGAAGAAAAGAAGAGGTCCACCGTATCGATCCGTGTCTGCTACCTAAAGCTGCCCCTACCTTGGGTGACCTGCCCAACCCCAGGTAGGTACCTGACTTACCTAAGGTACTGCCTGTTTGCAAGGGGCGACTGAGGCAGGGCAGGTACCTCGTCATTTTCTCGACAGGTGCGCAGGTCTTTCTCCTCCATCCTCACCATCGTATCTGCCTTCCCCCCCCTCCGCCTCTCCCCCCACCACCCTCACCGGCCGCAGCCAACTCCACGCCCCAAGATTGCGCACTCACATCTCTTCCACCTCTCGTTCCCTCGTCGAGCGCCGCGTGCCACCTTCGAAATACCCTCTACCAACCTTGCTGTCTCTCCGTTGTCCGTAGTCGCGGCTTTAGCCCTTTGTTACGCGGTGCGATTCCCGCCCCAGTGCTAGGCACCGGGCCGGTAGACGAAAAAAGAAAAGAACCGCTAGGTTGCACGCACTTACGTACCTCCCGTCGCCCTCCTCTACACATAGACGTACATATACGTATCAGACTGCTGGCTGTCTTTCCCTCTCCCTCTCCGCCTCTCTCTTTACCTCCCTCTCTCCCTCCCTCTCTCCCTCTCTTCCTGTCTTCCTGTCTTCCAACTGACGGACCTACGTGGAGTTGGTCATCTACTTGTCCCCTCGAGCCGGCCTCCCCCCCCTTCTCTCGAGCCGATCCCACATCCTTAACCTACTAGCTGATAGAAGTTCCGAAGAGCCGCGACATGTCAACAGTGTGGTGCAACCCTACTCCTGGCTGTATCACGAGACCAACACCGCCTGTGACGACAACATCAGCCACGACAGTGACAGCAACAGCGACGGCGACGGCGACGGCGACCTCGACCTCGACGATACACCGCCACCAATCCCCATCCCTCTAAGGTGCAAGCGTGAGCTTGACAGGGACACGAACCGGGACGGATAATCCTGGTCTCGAAACTAAAACTAATCGGTGAAAAATTGCGACAGGGGACTGGCGTCACCACCGCCGCTACGAATACTGCAGTGGGTATTCCCTCGCCCAGAGGCGCGAAGCCAGCAGCAGTTCCCGTACCAACAACAGCTTGTTTCGATAGCTGTCCGCCACGTGACGACCGAGTCGAACAAGAGGAAGACAGGGAGACAGCGCATATACGATATCTCCCCACTATGGATGATGGGCTCGATCCTGCATCCGCTGTTGCGGATTTCTCTGCTTCCCAGCTCCTCACCACGTACGCTCTAGGTGACACCATCTCGCGCGCAACCTCTCCCGGCTTGCCGCCCTCGTCCTCTGCCGGGACCGACGATAGTAAGCGCTACCGACCGCGCACCTTTGCCTACTCCCAATTGCTGCCCTACCCTGTCGAGGACGATGCCGAGCGCGACGCTGCTCTCCGAGGGATATTGAAGCAGCTTTACATAGCTATCAAAGCCGAGGATTTCTCCCCGGGCGCCTTCCACTGGACGCGCCAGCTGCAGGGATGGCTGTCCCTCAAATTCGACATGCCTCGCGAGCTGCGCGCCAGGCTCGTGAAGCTATACTTCCACCTGTCTCTGGCGCCCGGTCTTGATAATAACGCTGCCGACCGCTTTTCGAAGATGGTTGTGACCTTGATCAGGCGGAAGCAGGCCCTCAAACCCGAGCAGGATCTCATCCTCGACTGGCGACCGCTTTGGAAGGAGCTGAAGGCTCTGGTGCTTCCCGCCGAGACGGCTGCCCACCACTCCTCGAGGCGACGAGGCGTGAAGCACCTTCGGAAGTTGTGTCTGTATTCGCAGCTCTACTTCGACCCCGGCGAGCGGCGCGCCATCCTCGAAGAGGTTCTGCCCTATTTCAGTGCCTCGGACGTCCAAAATGCCTTCATCGTCATCGGCGTGTTGAACGTCCTCATGCCTACGACACCGGCCCCCCCCACTGCGCCGCAGTCGCAACCGTCAGACTTCGTCCCTACCTTTTTTCACCTCTGGTCGTTGATGACGCGGTCGAAGGTTGTAGACAACGCCTTCATCGACATATTTTCTAGGATCGCCCGAGACTACTTGACCTGCCGTCACGTGCCGTTTGGTGAACACGGCGTTTTCACGCGAGAGCAATCCGACCTTGTCTTCACCGCAATCCTGCGTCTCACCGAGATTCCTGTCGGGCAGGCGACTTCGCCGTACGCGTCCATCGACTACTCGGCCGGGATGGGCATCTTTCTCGAGAAAGACAAGAAGAAGCACCCCATCTCGTACCTCATCGCCCGCTGGGTCATTTATTCGCTGTCGCCGCACTGCCTCGACAAGGACAATTCGATCATGAATAGCCTCGAGGGCCTCATGGAGTCTGTCGACACCTTCTTCCATCCTTCCAACCAAGGGGCGTGGACGAAAATGCTCGCTCAGCTCACGTATTACCTGACGGAGTTGTTTGTGTCTCGCTGGAATAGGGAGCAGAATGAAGAGCAGGACGCCCCCGCCGAGCGTAGGATTAATGACGCCCTGAAGCGCCGGTTTGTCTTAAGTCTGCGAGAGGTCACATATATGGGTCTTTTTGGGAAAAGCTACAACGTCACCAGCTTGTACTTCAGTACCCTTCAGAACCTCACCTACCTTGAGCCCGATCTGATGCTTCCCGGCGCGCTCCAGAGGTTCTACCCAAGTTTGCAGGGCCTGGTCGAAGTTCATCGGACTACCTCTAGCCTGTGCGGCCTCAACATGATCGCCAATATCATGTCGCGCCAGAAAGGCTTTAGATGTCATATCACTGCTCTGTTAGCACTAGCTTTACCTGGTATCGATGCTAATGATCTGAACAAGACACAGTATACATTGAACTTCATCCAAAGTGTTGCGTACAGTATTCCATTCGTGACCTTGACCAAGGACGATGACAAGATTCACGATACGAGCCTTGCCGTGCAGTGGGTCCAGGGCGAGGTGGAGCGCATGGAGCGGGAGGGCCAGGATGTTAAAATCGATTACAAGAACGAGCTTAACGACGAGGACGAAGCTAACATCGTCCGCTCCTCGACCGCCGGCTTTGGCGAATTCATCCTCGCGTTGCTAGGCAAAGTCTTCACGTTGCTAGAGAACCTTCCGGACTCGTCGCAGCTACGCTCCGGATCCCCCGAGGACAATATCATCAACAGCCTACCGGCTGCGTTGACCCCGATGTTCGCCTCCCTATCTCCCGAGCTGTTCGATATGGCTTTAGATAAGCTCGCCACTTTCGTCTCGAGCCATGTCGTACACCAGGCTCGCGATGCCATGGCCTGGATCTGCAACGCGCTGTGCAAAGTAAACCCTGAAAGGACGCTGAAGGTGTTCATCCCGATGCTTATTGTCAATATCCGCAATGAAATCGATTACAACGGCGCTGCCTCCGACCGCAGTAGCGGCACCGAAATCCTTCCTCGCGATAGAGCTCTCGTCTGGCACGTTAGCATCCTAAGCATGTGCGTGGTTCACGTCGGCAACGAGGTCCTCAAATACAAGAAAGACTTATTTGAGATTGCGGAGTACATGCAAGAAAAGTGCCGGGGACTCCCCACCATTCATATCAGCAACTACATACACCATCTTCTCCTCAACCTCACGCACATCTACCCGATAGACACGTCGCTATACGAGCCCGAGGTCGTAGCGCGCGGTCTAGACGTCGATGACTGGGGCAAGACGACATCGCCGGCGGATTTGACGATCCGATGGCACCTCCCTTTTCACGACGAGATCCAGTTTGCCGTCGAGCTGTTCGAATCTCAGGCCGGGGGGGCTATGAGGCGACTCGAATCCTTCATGGGCGACTGCCCCCCCGTGAGTCGCAAAGGGAAAAACAAGGAATGGTCAGATGAGGTCTCTCGCCAATTAACCCAACTACGATTGGTAATCTCTGGCCTGGCCGCCCTCTTCGACCCTAAGCGCGCGTCCGGAGAGTTGAACAGCTACGTCAAGACCAACGGAAATCTCGGCGGGGATGATGACGAGCTTATGAATGACGATGATTACGACGATGACAACGACAACCCTCTAGCCGAGGTTGGAGAAGATGACGAGACGAAGCCTCAGTTTAAATATCCTAGCGGTTACGTCCTTACGCCCAACACTTCCCTCTATAACCGGATTCATAGCCTTCGGGATGACATAGGCGAACTGCTCTCCCGCACTCACTCCTTCCTCAATACGCATCTAGAGGACGATGTGGCTTGTTTCACGGCGCTGTACAATACGTATCGCACCTGGATCACGGACGTGGGATTCGAGCGGTCGGCACGCCCGCTGGATCGACTTATTCGGCTTTACAGGGCCGACATTGCCCCTTTTAAGATCAGCGGTCTGCGAAAGCCGTATCCTCGGCCTCTCCTCATCAAGCGCGCCGACGCATACCAGTTGCAACGTGTGAAGCACAACGCCTCGGTCCGGAGGAAGAGCGAGCTAGACAAGCGCTTGCTACTCGACCTAGCCGAATCGTCCGTTTCCTCGTACGCGGATGTGCGACGGATAGCGCAGGGCGCGCAAGACGCGTCGCTGAAGGCACTGATAGGCGGCCGCCCGCTTGTCATCCCCGTGATCCTAGAGAGGTTCCGGAAAGCCCTCGACGAGGCCGACCACGATCGCATCAAAGGTGCTATGTATACTCTGCTCTTCACGAGCTTACTTAGGACATTGCTTAGGGACTGGAGATACGCTCCCGATCTAATGAGGCTATATATCCAGACAGCCAACGTGGACAAAGCATCGATCCAGAACCTGGGGGCGACCGCGATCTATCCGCTACTCGACTTTGGCAAGAGGTTCGAACTCATGGTGTTGGTTGACGAGCAGACAATCGGCCTGATCAAGCCAGACGAAGATTGCACGCAAGCCGTCAATGCACGACACGACTTCATCGCGGAGCGGAGAAAGAAGGTCGAGCAGACGAAGTCGGCTTTGGGGCTAGAGCTGACGGAGCTTGCGAAGGAATCCCATTGGAAGACGGCTAGCCGCTGTGCTGTCTTTGCCACTAATCTCTGCCTCCGGTTTGACAATATCGCGCCCAAGAGCTTCATCGAACTCATCGTCAAAGGTACAAACGATCCGCATCCTGGCTTGAGGACTAGCTACCTCAGCGCCTTCTCGAACATCTTCACCGCGATCGACCAACGCGCCGTGTACAATCACAGCTACCGGAGTTACCTGGAAGAGAAAGAAAAAGATGCCAACAAGTTAACCATTCCAGTCCCGAGGGGCGACGCCGAATTTACACGAAAGTTCTTAGATAGTTTCAAGCACCCAGAGGACGCCGAGTATTTTGTCGACGCCGATCACGCGGGCTGGCTGGTCTGGGGCAAGGAGTTTCATGCCACGCGGGCGAGACCGGATAAATTTGACGGTTATGACGACGTTGAGACCGCCGCGAGACAGCAGATTGGTGGACTTATAACTAGGGAGTGGCTCTCCCAGTGTTTTGAGTATCTTAAGCAGGAGCCGCGAGATTCATCGTCCGATCGGTTCAGAACCACCAACGTCGTGCTGCTCATGCATGTTTTCGAGCTTATGGTGGACGGGGTAACCGAGCTGAAGCTGGATGATGTCAAAGACCTCGTTGCCGACGTGTACGGCGATGGAAGCGACAAGCACCAACATCGCGCCACGGCGGAGATCCTGGGCTCTCTCATGGTGGGTACAGCATACGAACCCGTCCATCTGAAGGAGGAGGTATGGAACTTTGCGCAGCCGATGATCCTGGGGATCTTCGCCGACAGCCTAACTCCCGATAACCTGTCGTATTGGGCCACATGCCTCCACTTCATCATCGACACCAAGGACCCCCGCCGTGCCAGCGAGCTCGTGAACCGTCTGAGCTCCTTTCGCTTGGATATGAACTCCAACGCGGCCTTTAAGGAATCCTCCAAGGTGCAGCTTCTCGAGTTCCTAATCAATGACTGCGGCTGGCACTATCGTCACGAGAAGCCCATTCTAGATGACTTCCTAGCTCACATCGACCACCCCTATAAGTCGGTCCGCGAGTCTATCGGCCGCGTAATTGCTACGATTTATAGAACTCGATACCACGAATCCTTTGAGAACGTCAGCCTCCTTCTCGACCAGAATAAGGCGGATTCGACTATTGGCATCAGACCGTACAAACCAACCGAGGAGTTCACAGCCACCATCAAGGATGTGTTCAATCGTCTCGAGACCTGGCGCCACGAGCGCACGCCGGGCCAGCAGACGCCGTCGTCGTACACGTCTGGGTCAAAAACGGTGCTTACTTGGCTCGATAGCACCCTTTCCTCTCAGGAGTGCATCCAACTTATCCCCTTCTTCCCCGACCCGTTCATCGACCAGCTACTGCACATGATGGATGTCAAGGAGGACCCGGAGCTGATGCGATTAGCTTACCACGTTTACCGCCACCTACCCAACATTCCTTTCCGCACAGGTGAAGACGCACCCTTCATCGCCGCATTGATCCGCCTCGGAAAGACGGCTACTAGTTGGCACCAACGTCTCAGGGCGTTGGTTAATATGCAAGTCATATATTTCCGACGTCTATTCTTGATGGATGCGCCTCAGCGGGAGCTGCTATTTGACGCTGTGGGTGATATGTTGGCCGATCCTCAACTCGAGGTCCGGACGGTCGCCAGCGCAACGTTAGCGGGCATGATCAGATGTTCTCCTGCCGTAATACGAAACCCTATCATCACGACCTTGAAGTCGCGCTTCGAGGCACAGCTATCCCGCAATCCGATGCCTAAGAAGAAGGCGCCGGGCACCGAAACACCGGTCAATGTCACGCAGCAGATCGTTTCCAGACACGCCGCCGTGCTGGGACTGGGCGCCTTGATCGAAGCGTTCCCGTATGCCACGCCGCCGCCTAGCTGGATGCCAGAGGTCCTGGCCCTGCTCGCGCGCCGTGCCGCTAGCGACCCTGGGGTAGTGGGCAAGGCCACCAAAGGAATTCTATCCGAGTTCAAAAAGACGAGGCAGGACAGCTGGGGAGTAGACCAGAAGGTGGGTGCTCGTAACATTCCTAAGTATATCGCAGGGCACGGGTTAACATGTAGGCAGTATTTTACTCACGAGCAACTCGAAGATCTGGAGGGCGTTCTCTGGAAGAGCTATTTCGCATGAAAACATTAGAAGAATTCTAGGGGCGGTCGGCCGCCGCCAAATCTGCGCGCGAGTGGTCTTTGGGGTCCGAGGCTTCTGGTTACGACAGAGTCGTTTTTCTTAAAATTTCTCGACAGTGTGTACAACTCAAGGAGGGGTGGGTTACTAAGGACTATGGTCATCGCAGCTTGGGCAACGCGCGGTCTACTCACCCGCGGCCCAGATGATATCGAACCGGTAGCATACACATAGACGCGGAGGGGGAAATCGAGCCAGCTTAGACCAGGAGGGGATAGGGGGGGGGGCATCATAGGGATAGACGCTTTTTTTTCAGATATGAGAGGGAACCACTGTCACTTCTCAGGGGAAACCCCCCTTTCCCCTCCTCCCGCAGAGCTTCGTGTACACAGTTCGGCAGGTCCCGCAGGGCGTGCAGTTGTATAGAAGTGGGCGGCCTGCCTCGGTTAGCTGTATGGGTGAAAGTCCTGTATGCCGATGTATGTATTGTGTGTGTGTGTGTGATGGCCAGCGCCAAATATAAGACGGCATATGTACCCACATGCATCCCGCCCGTGGCGCATCTCGCTCGGCCTTGGCCGGGGACCTAGTAGTCGCGAGACGATACACGGATTTTCCTTTTTTTCCTTTCTTCTCTTTCTCAGAGGCCTGCGAACGAGCTGCTGCGGCGCGCGCGTGTGTGTGTGAGCGAGAGCTTCACGACTAACGTCGGCACAGCACACTCGACCACCGACAACGCCTGCCTCCCTCGGGGGAAGCATCCTGTCCTCTCCCGCCCCCGCGTCGCCGCCCGAGTTGGGAGCACAGCAGGGCTGGGAACGTCGGGCCGCGCGTGTGCGCCCCGGGACGGGCGAATCTGCTTACTGCCTGTCGGGCTTCCTGCACGCGCAGCGGGATCTAGCCCGGGGCGGGGGGGGGGAAGGGCTGGGAAAACAGGGCTGGCGATAATAAGGCGGGGCACACGGGGTAGACGCGATAACGATAGTCTGGGATTCTTGTCCGGGGGGCGCGGCGAGGCTGCGCGCATGTAGTGCTAAGCTACCTCCTACCTAGGTAAGGTGTGTATATGGTGTACATAGGTAGGGTCGGCCGGGCGGGATAGTCGGGCTCTTCTTCTTCTTCTTCCTGCGCTCCCCGCGGGTATGAATAGCAAGCCGCTATAATGCATTTGCGAGCACGGGGGACGGGGGGGGGGGGGGGGAGAGACTACCTGCCCAAGTCTATCTTAAGGACAATGAGGGATTCAACTATCGAGGCATGGGGGGCATCGCGTCGAGTTGGGCCTCATTGGCGCATGCCCATGCTTACCTATCCCGTGCCAGGCTCGCTTAGCACGGGGGAGCAGCAAGAGGGCTGGTTCTAGTCGCGAAAGGAACAGTGTTATTGATTCCTGCGTACACATATATGTATACGTGTGTGTGTGTGTGTGTGTGTGTGTGTGTGTGTGTGTGTTGGGGGCCGCCTTGCCCTCGTCGGGGGGATCCTTTGCGCGTCAGCTGAACACATCGTGAACCGCGGACGCGCTCCTTTCCCACCCAAACCCTGCCCTAGTCGTAGACCGCCGTCTGTCGTTTCTGAGCGCGAACAACCGAGGGCACCCCACGTCCACCAAGAGATCGAGCTGAGCTGAGCGTGAGTGAGAGTCCTATCGAGGCATGTGTGCGTTGATGTAGGTAGTGCTCTTGGCCCCTTGCGATAATAGGAGCTCGCCCCCTGTCTTCCTGTGATGAGCGGACTGTCTGTTGACTCATTCACACAACCTACCTATACACAAACGAGAAGCGTACACATCTCAAACAGGGCGTGGGGACACATGTATTAAAGACGTGAAAAAACCTGAGATTATAAGCAAGCGAGTCTTACAAATCGCCGTCGGTTCATCCACGTATAGGTAGGTATGCGGAGCTGGGCGAGCAGGGGAAGGGGGAGGAGGCAGCAAGTTTACCAGGTTGATATGCTCCGAGAGGGGGCGTGTGGCAATGCTAGCTAGAAACCCATCGCCTATTATAAGACCAGTTAAGGGCTGGTGGCCTCGTGCGTCGTCCCCATTGGAGATCCCCAGTCTCCATGCGTGAGGCTTCACAGACCCGTCGTCTAAGGCCTCAACTATTTAAAGCTCGCCAGCCGGCGCATCGGGAAGCGCGGAGAGCGCGTTTTCCGCCAGCGCCTCGTGTACCATGGCCCGGACCCCTGCGAGCGTCAGCCAGGCCAGTGGCATCCGGCGGGCGGTGACTTACGTACCCGTTGCGAGACTTCCGCATACCGCCGACGAGTATCCGCAGAATTGCTCGACCTTTGTCGGTGCTCTTCACGACGTGAGATACTACCAAGGGATCCTGCGCAACGCCGACAACTTCTCGCCAGTCACGCGTTGCGAGATCCTCGAGTCTGGCTACCATCGGGGGTGCTGGAGGGAAACCCTCGGCGAGGATGCTGCTCGGGATTATTTCGAGGTACCTATTAGTTGTTTCTTCCTTACTCCTGGAGAAGGCCTCGCATTTCGACGCAGTTCCTCACGTCCGCTAGGGTCTTCGCGTAAGAGAAAGCAAGGAGGCGCCCATACCATCTCTGCGCGTCATGTAGGCACTTTCCCGATCAACCGCGAGCTCGCTCAAAAGCTGAACGTGATAGCTTCTGTACTATAGAGAATGCTCCGGGGACGACCTTTGGCTGTCGTCTTTCCTTGAGTGCCAACAATACCCAGGCTCTTCTAAAGGGCCTTGACGTATCGCCGCAGTTCCTCGGCCCGCTGCTCGGAGAGCCGGATTACTGGGCACCAGGAGATTTCGCCGTATACGATGAGAAAGGAGCGCTGGACAGAATAGGTACGTATGTTGGTCGTGGCTCGTGTGGAATTCCTGCGTTGACCTTGCTCGCTCGTCCGTTTCTGCTCTTCCTGCAGACTTCTACTGTCAGCAACCTCGGTGGAATATCCATAAGAGAGATGTCCCGTGGTGCATATACATGACGCACCAAGTGGCGAGTAAGTCCACGACGTACCTTGTTGTGTGCAGCGACAAGCAGCCTCAAATCGCGGTGGTTAAGGAAAGGCTGGCCGACCTCCTCGATACCAGCCAATCTCAGTCAAAAACTTGGGCGGATTCTTCGGACCCTTTCTTGCTTCACTTGATCATCACCCACGAGGCCTTCTCGGAGGCCAAGTCTATCATAACCGCTCTACGATACCGGCTCTACGACCAGCTCGACCGGGTCGACACCTACTCGCACGAGCCCTCGGACCGGCAAGACCTGGAGAAGCTGACGATCGAGCTCCATGTAGTCTCGCAAGACACAGACTCGGTGTACGCGAGCGCGGACATGGCCGGGATGATTGTCCGCAAGCTGGCGGACGCGCACTCCCGCTACCGGCGAAGCGTGGTCGACCCGGCGTTGGTCAACGCGACGACGAAGACGGAGGACGCGCTGAGGTACCTCGGCGAGTCGATCGAGTCCCAGAAGCGATGGTTAGCCAGCTATAAGTCTCGGAAGGACATCGCGATGAACCTCGTAAGCGGGACGCGAGCCCATACCCAGACCTACACCTACACGCCTTCCTATGCCTCCTGCTGACCGTTGATGATGCAAAAGGTGTACAATCTCGTCACACAACAAGACAGCGCCACGAGTACGACGATTGCCCGTGAAACCAAGGCCGACAGCGCCTCCATGAAGGTCATCGCGGCGTTGACCATGACGTTCTTGCCGGCTACCTTTCTATCGTCCGTCTTTGGCATGGCGATCCTCGATGGCGCTCCCTGGTGGCTATTCGTCGTCCTCGTCATCCCCTTGACCGCACTGGTAATCGGCGTCTGGTGGGCTTGGTCCGCCTTCGAATTCATTGGCAACAAGCTGCATCGTTGGAAGCCGTCCTTCGCCCAGGCCGGGGGGAGCACTGACGGGGGCGGTACCGACAGCGGTAGTACGAATGTATAAAATCACGGATTTCTGTATAATGCGACTCTATTTCGATCGACTCTTAGCAGCGAGGAGAAAGCAGGTCTAACACTGTGAACTAGCGATGCCAGAGTTCCCGACGAGGAACACCAAACTCCAGCAGTGCGTTCAACGGCCCGTGCTTGACCCAAGCCTCATACTCCTCCTCGGAGTTCACCCACACCATCCCGAGCATGGCGGCTGCGTTCGCGGACATCATGCCGTTCCCAGCCTTGGATCGGGGGATCACCATCATCCACTCTCGGACCAGAATCACGTTGTGTGGGGCTTCTGGCCCTAGCCTGAGGGACGAACGAAGATCGTTATATATTTGCAGGAGACTTTCTCCACTGGTATCCGCGGTGATGGCGTGGACGGAGTGATCGAATGGGATGCCAGGTACCTGGTGTGCATTTCCCGCTAGAGTACTTATTATTAGCACCTTTGCCAGTGGAATACAAAAAACGGTGGCCTACCTTGGCCCGATATGTAACGGTCCGGAAATAGCTCGTGCTCCGTTGGCGGCGGGCGCGGAATGATCTGCAGATGCTTGTGGCCCACGGACGCGCCGCTATCGTGGCCGCAGTTGAATATGACCATGAAGGAGCTCTCCAGGGAGCACAACACCGTCCGTGCGGCGCCGAGGTCGAAGCCGTTCAGTGCATCTCTCTGGGGCTCGAAGTCGACGGTATGTAGAACAAACTGAGGACGCACGACGCAGTACTTGTTCAGGATCAGCTTGTGTCTCCCGCCGTAAAGGCCGAGCGAGAAGCGCGGGTCTTCGTCCGCGAACGCATTCTCGACCGTGCTGAGGTGGGAGGTGCGCGGCTTTCTCTTCAAGCTGCCGGCTACCCGGAACTGGAACTGTCGCTCAGGGTCAGTCGGTCGATCAAGTGAGCTTTCGTCTTCGCAGAGCCGAAGGAGGGGAGAGCTCGGCTGACATTGAGGGTCTCAGACCGGACGTAAATCGGCCGCGTCTCTACCCACAGTAGCTCTCCGCTCTCCACCAAGTTATCGAACTGCGCCAAGGATCGCGATTCAAGGTCTAGGGCGGACATGTCGCAAGATCTCTAAGGCGGAGTACTCGAACGGTCACGTATCATGCTGGTCTTTGCACGTACAGTTAGCGCCGAGCCAGAAATTCCTCCCTCTGTCTCCTTATGTTGCGGTTGTAGCTGATGTAGGCAGGTAATACTTAGGTAGATAGTCTTCGCTGGCTAGCCTCGTCTACCAAGGTCTACGGGGAGAACTTCGCTTCGGTGTTTTCGACGGCTAAAATTTTTGAGGTCTTTTTATTCCCGTGGATATTATTTATTCGCAGACTTGGGTGGGTCGTCTTCCTTCCTTCTGTTAGACCGAACACCTCGCAGGATTTGGTCTGTTTTTATAGGTGCGAATACACATAGACTGTCCATTATGTCTCTCGCTCTATTTCGCTCCCTACTTTCCTCGCCGAAGAATAGGTAAGCCAGGTTCAGGACACCGGGGCTTAGGCACTTACTACATACGCCACCGCCGTAAGAGCAGGCGGTGTTGAATGGTATTGAGTCGTCTTTGGCTGACGCAGCCCGAACCCGATCAGCCATCGGGGCGTGCAAGCAGGCGACGACAAATACTCAGCATTGGCTAGCAGTCGGACATCGCGAAACCAGAGAAGATGTACCGGTATCTCTCCACCGACATACGTAGGCGCAACCCATCCATTCTAGTTTCTCCCGAGAGCAACTGACGTGCGGTTGTAGGACAATGAGAAGGAGGAGGAGACCGCCCAGGACCGCGCAGTTCTGCTTTGGCGGGTTTGCAAGGGATTACGAAGTAACCAACTGGGGCGCCACGCTCGGCTTCGGTTACGCCGTGGTGTTAGGTAGAAAGCTGTTGTCTGACTTATTCACGCACGTCTGAACGGGGCGCCATCGATCCGGTCGAGATTCCTGGAGGAAAACGAGAATGCTCCTGTCAAGTCGCAACACGGGTAATATCAACCTACTAGAACTGAGCCGTTCCCTTAGGTAAGCTGGTCGTCCTCGTATCGCCCGTCCTTATGTAAGCACCGACCACCGTCTACCTCATAGTTGACGGTGGCGTACTCATAGGTACGGTCTGACCAGAGGGAGCCAGTATTAGAAGGGGTGTGTCGAGCTCCGGTATTAGAACCAGCAACTCAAGCCGGCTGGTACGCAAATATATACCTACCTAATCGAGGCAGTTAAGGTACCTATTAATAGCACGATATAGCTACGCACAGATGGCGCCGCTACGCGGTCTAACCATGGCAGGGCTAAATCTGTATCTGTCAAATCCATCCCGAGACTACCGGCAGAGAGCTTAGGCATTCCCCTGCTCGTCGGCCAGATCATCGCTTCTCCTAGCACACTCGACTAGGCCGTACTGCAAAGTCGTGCCGTCGCGTAGCCGGAGCCGGCCAGGGGCACTCGAATCTAAACCCCGTACAAGTTTTGAAGGTGGGAGGGAGACGAGGAACGGAGGAGAGCTCGGCTGACTGACAGGTCTACAGTTAGATACCTACGAATACGTTCGATTGGTTTATGGTCGGGCGAATATAACGATATTGGTTGGTATAACGAGCTCGGTACTAGCATAGACCGAATAGCTTTGATATGTTCGCAGAACTTAGCGTTTTAGCGACCCAAGCAAGTCACGCCGTCTCGACGTTATTGAGAGCTGCTTCGTGGTGCCGGCAGCCGTATTATTGGGCTGTTATCTCAGATTGGCCACCAGCCTGCGGGTGGTGAGCCGCGCCGGCCAACTTCCATACAGCAGCCCAGAGGGTTACCAAGAATGTCAGGGCTCGATCGGAGATAATGCAACGCGGGAAAGCTCAGTCGCAGGTAAGCAGTCTGCCAGACAGTGCTCGTTAGCGGTTCGGGTATTCTTGCCACAATAATAATCTTAAACTGTTTAGTGAGTGTACATCGGTATAACAACGACAACGTGGCGACGGCCTTCGTTGTGGAGGACCCGGGTCTCTCCCTTGTCGATGTATTCGAGGGCGAGGACAAGCTCCTATATTTACTATCGATGACAATAGCAGTGACGAGAAGAGATGTCAGGGGCGAGGAGATACTACGAAACAAAAAACAGTTCGGGGCCACGGGGAGGCTGATAACCTTAGCAGCCGATTTAGAGCAGAGACGAGAGAAGGCGGACGCCGAAGACAAGATAGCTAGAGCCGCAACACGAGACCGGCGAATCAAGGTTCTTTACGTTATCCACACAGGCAAACAGCATGCCTCGACGACTGCAGGACATTCAGCAATATGAATAAGCTGTCGAGAGCGAATGGCGACGATGACGGCCAGTTAGCAGGCGTTAGCAAGGACGTCCCGCATCGTGTAGGGGAGGAGGACAATCGGACAAGGCTCCTTCGATGAGCAAAGCGTGATCCAAATTTTCTCGATCCTCTTGCCGGGTGTGGAACGACGGCAATTGCACGATCACTGTATTCAACGTCTTGACTCGTCCGGGTACGCCAGTCGCCCGCAACGGTGGCTATGGTAGAGAACAGCGGGAGTGTGTGCAAGAGCAGTGACAGCCGTCTGTGGTACGCCCACCCTGGGCGTGGCTCGGAGGCAAAACTCGGCTAGGACCAGCCCAGCTTAGGGGCTAAAGACGGTTATGTCCAGAACGAGGACGGCAGTGCTGTGGATGATGCCTAGGCGTGGAGCCAGATCTTATGCATCCAGAGCGACGGCGAGGGGAGGAGCGAGGATATACGGAGAGCCGCCTTGACAAGGTGCTTACGCTGCCCAGACTCCGAGGTACCGCAGGGAGAGGACGCGCTTGGGGCCGAGGCTCAGTCGAATTGCGGCAAAGCCCCCTAGCACATGTTAAGGGCGTTTACTTATGTCAGAAACTTAGGGGCGCCAGCATTCCAGCGTCTTCACATGTGCAACCCGACGCCTCTGACAGTCGATCCCGGATCGGCATCCATCACCAATCAGTCGTGGCAACACTGCGTCCGAGCCCTCGACCGGCAGCAACTAGGAGCGTGGGACTAACGATGGACGAAACCCGGTTGGGTGAGAGCTGACCGGCTCTTGGCTACCCGTAACCACCCAAGGTTTGCTCTGTTCAATAGAGTCATCCTGACTCCCGCATTCCATAGAAGCTTACGAGTTGGGACGCTGCTGTTCGAACCAGGCTATAAGTGGGACTCTGGGAAGAGCTGTTCCCGTTACTCTCTTGCTCGCGGGTTAAACAGCCCCTTTTTCTCTTCGAACGTGGTACAGAGATTCTCTCATGGCTCTAACACTTCTGATAGTACATGGCTCCCGTCTAGTTACGGAATGAGCAGTCAGATATGTACTTTACACGCCGGAATAAAGGTTCGAGGGAGGAAAATAGGCTACGTGAGATACAGTCTTGGCCTTCTGAACACACACCAAATTATTAGCCCATGTACCAAATCTTCCCGCATTGTAGGCATCTGCCTCCTGGCCGCTACTCGTTCAGCCTCTACTCGAAGTTTGTTTTGGATGGATGTATTTAGGCATTGCAAAAGTCAGGAAGCGGATATATCGATTCCCGCCTGCCCCCGACAGGAACCGTTTCAGCTACCTCCGTCAAATATTTCCTAATATATGATTTACATATCAGTCCCAAGTTAGTCTTGGGACCAATTCAATACGCGCAGATCAAACGGGCATTTATTACTTGTGAGGGTATTGTTGTCCGTTTCCTATTAGACCTTTGCTTTACAATGTCAATGTCATTTGTTTGTTAACTAGAGAACGGCTCTTTATTACCGTTAAGGTCCTCGCTGTGGCTCAGATATCCTACATAGTGTCAACGTCGTAAAGTCTTGTTGCTTTGAATTCTGACTTCAATTGAACTATGACGCAGACTGTTACTGCCTTTTATAGCACCAGGATTCATCGTATACCTGAGATATTGGGTTATTTTTGCTACTTCTAGCGAGTCTTCTACTTGTTCTCTCCCATTTTGGCTAGAGTTGAAGCTCCCGGCATCTTCTCTGCGGCTGGCGAGCTGAAACTCCCGCGCTTGACGGTTGTGCGCTGGGCTCGCGGCGGACGTGCGGCAGAGTGTCTAGCGCTGGCGCAAGCCACGTAGGCGTAGCTAGCGTGGGCATCCAGATTGACGCGGGTCAGGGCGTTCTACTTTGCAGCCTTCTAGAAATGATTCTCGCAAGGACAGGGAATGCCTCATGCCGTAAATTATTGCGTCGTAGCGCTGTGCCATATTAAGTGCCGAATAGAGGAACGAAATCCCTCGGCCTCTGGATCCTACCCAGAAAACACATCACCTCAAGTGTCATAGTAGTGCCGATCTTGTTCTATTTTGCTCCCCAAGAAGGATTCTAATTTCTTGCTACGCGTGTACACGCAGAGGCCTACTCTCAACAGCGGCTGTCATGGACGGTCTTGATGCTACGCGCAATCTACCGTAGATAGTTATCACGGTCTCGGCCGGCCCAAAGAGGCGCCCGTTTTGGGAAGGTGTATTAAACTCCGTATTCACCTTGGCTGGCCAGGGGCCAAGGTATGCGTGTATGAGTAAGTAGTCGAGTTGACAACGCCCGGTGTGATGGGCTCCGGCTGGCAGCCGAAAATACCGAAGGATTCAGGTCTTGTGGGAGTTTGGCCGAGTCTCGAAGAGTCATATGACGAGAACCAACTACCGTATGTGCTCGCAGCGATATTGCGCGGGGCAGCAAACCCTTGTCCACCATGCTCCTAGGGTTCTATAATACGCTGCGTTATAACGAAAGTACGGGTACCTACGTCGTGTCGCGCTACAGTCGGTTCGTAATGTTGTAATCATGTATGTACTGCATTGCAACGAGAATCATAGCGGCCGCATACTCTGCGGCCAGGAGACCAACTACCGTAAGTTAATAGCCAACCAGGGGGGCTGGCCTCTCCCATGCAACACATCTCAGGTGCACCGGAGAATTAATTTCAAGAGGCGGCTGCTTACAGGGCCTTCTCGCCTGGCCGTCCTAGATCCGACCGTTGTCAGAAGGCTAGGCTAGACTGGCCTATAGGTGTGGAATTGCCTCGACTCTAACACGGGTTCGACGGCCGATGGTTCCTATTGTCGGCTCGGCGGCCATAGCTCCTAAGCTCTCCAAAATACATGCCCATGTCCATACATAGAGAAGGCAACCCTGAACGCCAGGGCCTGTGCATATGTATGTACCCCCCCCCCGGATGTGTGGCAAGCCTCTACAAGCATGGGCCGATTGCGCAGCTCATGGCCGATGCAGCCGGTCTGGGGGCTGGCAAAGAATATTACACGTCAAATCAATGCAGATCCGCACTTTGTGACTGTAACATGACCGGCGGTGACATACGTACATACAGTACGTGTCCGTACAAGAGGGCTGGCCAGAAGACAGAGACAGAGAGAGAGAGTACGGGATACTAACCCGAGGAGAGGGGGGGAGTTGGCGGGGCGCTTAAGCCTCCGTGCTGGGGAGCGAGGGCGAGAAGGCTTCTACGGTGACGCTAGGCGTTGCAGACGTGCCATCATGGCAACGTGGAGGCAAGGCGAGCTCTCCTCAATATGGTTTCCGGGAGATTAGGTTCCAGTACCTGTGGGCAGTATCAGTACCCAGAGTAAGCAATCAGTCGCCGCCGTTGCAACGACGGCACAACCCTTGGCGGCGGTGGCGGTGGAGGGCCTGCAAAGTCAGCGAGCCACCGTTTGTTGGGAGGTTAGTTGGAACGTGGAATAGCGCAGGCAACTCACGCAGCGCCCTGTAGCTTCCAGTCGTATACTCAGGCAGATTAGCTATGGCTAGGGCTTGAACCCTGCCGGACGTGATGACTTACAGTGACCATATGAGAGAGAGCTACCTAGGCAGATCTACGAGTATTGATGAGCAGCTCTCATCTATGTACAGAGTACGGTAGGAAGGTACATATTTCACGTCTTCAAGAAATTCACCTCCTATGGCAATGTCACAGGGGGCGGGTATCTTGGTCCAACAGACCAGACGGCGGCACTGGCAAAGAATACTAGCCGGAATTTGGGTTAACCTTTGGCAGGTTGACTCCAGCTTGTGCGCGATGTAACGACGGCTCGCGGAAGTTGAACCCTTGCTATGATGGGTTCATCTCAATGGGTTGCCCCCTGTTAAGCACCCTGTTCGCGCCCTCACCAATACGGACGATGCAGTAGTATGTACGATACATAGATATATGTATCCGTACATTTGCGTCTACGTACAGTACTATGGCCCCCGGCCACTGAACGAAGCCCACCAGGGGGGGTATAAGAGAGGCATATTATAACCCCGATGCGGTTGGGAGCGCCATGTTAGCCAGCTTCGGAGATAAGTTTGGAAAGGGGTAAATTGGCCGCAAATTAGCATCAATTTGCTCGAGCGCCTACGTAGTCCAGGACCTAGCGAAGGTGTGAGAAATGCAACTTGAGCTTCCATCACGGGCGAAAGGGCCACGAAGGGGTTGTGAGGAGGGCAAGACAACGAAACAAAACAATGTTGCTATTAATCCTCCGAATTTGGGGTACCCTGCAACTTCGATAACTCTCTGCCCCCCCTTAGAGCCGTAGGCCGTGAGGGGAAAAAGTGGTATCCGGGTAAGGAGTCCCGCGTGTGTAGGTAGGAAGCGGGTGAACTGCATCTTCGTCCACAACCTGTTAACCTGCTAAGTCTCTGTGGCTGATGTCACCCGCCGATCGGTCCATTCCACCGTCCCCTCGGGCTAATTAACTGGAGGTTCCACGGGTCATTACATGGCCGGTTGGACTACGCAGATCTATGAATGCTAGCCACTAGCAACTCTCTACAGAACGTAGGTAGTACGTAGTTCCGTGACTCTACTCTACCCATACAGGTGGGGGGGGGGGGGGGAGTAGGGGGTTAAGGACCCGGTTTGGAATATTGGTATCACTACCCTTGGCGGGGGGAAACATGTTAGATGGATGTACATACATACGCACATACATAGATACATGTTGCGGCATGGGTATGGCATGCCGGTAGCTATACTTTGTCCAGAGGGACGGGGAATCTCCAAAGATCCTGGGGGCGGGGGCCACATGACAGGAAGAGTCAAAGTAGCCGGCGAGCGCGCGTAGACTTGCTGAGTCTTCAGTCGAGACACACAGTCTCGATTGTCCTTAGCTACTATAGCCATCCATGCCGCCGTTGCAGTCGCTGGCAAATAGTGCTCTCGTAGTAGAGACATTCCCTGCCTGATCGGAGTTTTATTGGACTCGCTACCTGAGAAGGTACCCGTCGAGGTTGAATCTTTCTCTTCCCCTTATGCAATCAATATAACCACATTGACCGGATCAGGGAAGAATGCCTCCCTGTCATACCGCTTTGGGAGGGAGGGTGTGCTCGTTCTGTAACCCCCTCTCCCCTTTGCGGTCTCCAAGATGTAACCTAAGTCATCCGCGCAGTCCTACGGCGGGCAGGCTTGCATATGGATATTACTCTGAAAATAGCTCCCGTTGGTGCTGAAGCGAGAGGCCGTCTTCGAGTTGTGCTTACCTAGTCCTATCCCGATGCCAAGTGTCGAACAATACGAGCACGGTCTGCCAAAAGCCACGCACATCGACGACGACAGCATCGTAAACGACGTCGAAGGCCGGAAAAATGTCACAGTGTGAAGGAGAGCGTGAGAAGAATCCGTATCGCGTGAGAGCACGTTTGAATGCTTGGCAAATCGACGCCGTGCCCTAGGTTAGCTGCCAGCGAGCTCATCAGACATCTCCTCGATCTACCGACTTAGCGCCTGCTTTTGCGATCTCCCCCCTCGTGACCGCGCCGCGTGGATGGGTTTTTTTTTTTTCTTTGCTGCGCCCCTCCGGGTCTCCGGCTCCCCGGCCGGCTGGGTGGCTGGGTACCGAATTCGGCCTACGCGAGCAGCGATTGAAAGCAAGCCTCGGAGAATATCTTCGGAGGCTAGGACCGAGGGGAGACCCTCGTAGGCCATGGGCATGTCGAAAAGGTTGATACATCGTTACCTGGTGCGGAGGGGCCTCTGTTGGGTGGCCAGGGTAGCTAGATAGCCAGCATGGATCATGGGCTCTGCGTGGTCGACCAAAAGGACAAGGTACAGACAGGCAAGCAAGGGTGTACGCAGCAGCAGCAACGCTCCAGAGAACTCCACGTTTCAATAATTGTCTGCAACCTCGAGCGACGGGGTCGCGCTACAGGCGTCTGCGGACCCAGATGCAACAGCAGCTCAACCTCACGTCAAGCACATCATAATAGACAACACCAGGCTCCATCTCTAGCGCGGGCTCTTCCGAGTATTGTCCCCAGCCCCCAGCGAGATTAGGTATACGAGAATGTTTGGCTGAGATGTGGGAATGCCCGATATTATGAAAGGGCCCGATTGGCAGCGAGGAGGAGCGCGGTGAAACTATTGACTTGGCTCTATATATGGATGCGGTGTAACTGCGAGGATACAATACATGAGCCCAGGTCCATCTGTAGGTCGTCGTGCGTGGTTGTGCGAAAGTGACTCTGCACACCCGTGAAGCTCGAGTACGGAGGCAAGGGCCGGGGCGAGGGGGAGAGGGGAAGGAATCAACGAAAAAGCAGGCTGGAGCTCGCGGCGATCTGCAGGGTGCCATCATCGTCGTCAGGACGAACGGTCGGCTCGCCATCGGCTTCTCTCGACTTGATATTGCCAGTTATTACTACGTCGTAGTTTAGCTTAGTCGATTCAGGTGAATATAACGGTAGGATGCTTAACGAATCACACGCCCCCTACACTGGATCCTCCAAGTTCTGTAGGGTCCCTTCACGCGGGAAAACCCGTTAGCTCGAACCTAGGAGGGCGAAACCAAGGGCTGAAGATCACCTACGCATGCTCAGCGCGAATTCCTGCGATCCCCGGTGCCCTGGGTGGCGGCTCTTTGGATTTAGGGATGCTAGAGAGCAATTAAAACCCCCCAAATGATAATTAGTACTGCCAGAGGGGAGCCCAGCGGCACGGGGCTGCATGTAATCTATGTAGGCAGGTAGCTTAGTCTCCGTATTAACGTCAGGGTTTCAGCATGTACATATATATCTGGTGTAATATATGTCAGGTGAGAGTCTTCAGGAAATAGTCTATCTGAAGTGTCAGTTCTTTGCGTTGGGAGGTATTTATCAGAATTCTCCAACGAAGATAGCAAAGATCCTCGGCGCTATTACTAGTAGTGGATGGGGAGATTTTGTCAAGATGATGGTGGTTTTGTAGCGGGGGATAATTACTATGGCCCTAAGATAAACGACGTCTACAGGTTACGAACAAATAGACCACAAAGCATCACGACTACGATATAATCCACAAGTCGGAAAATAAATACTTGGGTGCTATCTCTAGGTCTGCGTATCTTTCTTAGTAGAAGATCAAGAATAAGCATGGAAGGCCATCTACGAGCGGGAAAGAAGTGTGGTGTAAGGGTTTTCGCGAATAATAAACCAGTTACGACGGATGGGCTCTTGTATTCTATCTCTTAGCTCCATAGTATTTAACCGCCGCCGGCCACAACGCCGTTAGTAAAATTGCCGACGTGCAAAAATCATCTGCTCATGATCTCCGCCTTACAACGAATTGTAACAACAGCCTCCTTTCTACAACAAGCAGCTGGATCGAAGGGGGCAGTGGTAAGCGACTACCAGATGAACAACCACGGGCTTGTTCAGAAAGAGTACGCGTTGAGATATAAAAGCTTTGTAGTCTTGATAAGCGGCGAGAATTGTTTTGGGGAGAGGTTGGAGAGAAAAACCACGAACTGAGGTTCCGTAGGAGTAGGACGCCGCAGAGGTGGTTGGGAAGAACAAGTAGCGATGTATACAGTATTCCTGTGACTGATAGCCGTAGGCAAACGATTGCCCTCCTACTGAGAAAGATGTATTCCGAATACTCTCCAAGTTCGGTTCCGCCTCTTGTGGGGGGGGGGCTAGGCTACCAACTTTGCTTTCAGATCCTAGGCTATATGTACCGTGATATCTACACATGCAGACGTATTACCCTGCTACAGACCTATCCAACTATTGGTTGTAGAGCCTGAGGACAGAAGAACTGCCGTATATCGGCATCCTTTCACGAGGCCCTAACCTACTTACTACATAGGCCTGCTCTGGTTGGATAGCTGCAACGCATGCCTGGGAACCATGATGCAGTTCTATCACACATGTGTCCCTACACATGTGCCCCTAAACCGGGTGCGGAGCTGTTGGTTGTCCCCTCCCTGATGAGCCCATACTGTGACTGATACGGCCCTTGAGGGAACTTGGAAAACTTCGTACTGGAAACATTGGTTCGGAACTGCAGAAGCTTTGTTAACAGGTCCCACGCGGAGAAAAAAAAAGCTCCCTCCATCCCCTGAGAATATGAAAAGCTCACGTCTTCTACGCCAATTATCGTGGGATGACAAGTCACATTGTAGATTTTCGGACCAGACTTCGCAGTGATGCCTTCGTCTATTTTGGGTTTTTCTAAAGATTAGGTAGTGGTATTTTTCAGTCAGCGCTGGTGACCGGAGGTAGTGCCGTGTCGTGATATGAAGATGCTCCCAGGGACGATCCTCCGTTCTCCCCCTCCCCCCCCCCCTGCCGCCCCTGATGTGCGTTAGGTCGTATTAGAGTACTAAGAGAACAAAAGGGATCGGGAGCTGATCAAATAGAGGGGGGAGGGGGTTCAAAACCAATGACGCAAAATAGCCTCCATTTGGGTATCTTTTAGAGCAGTGCTTTTTAAACCCCGTATTCCCAGAAAAAGAAAATACACTTGAGATAGAAGAACCCGTGAGGGAGTACGCTGATGTCGGATCCCTTCGATATGCCTCCGTATTCCGGGAAAACAAAGCACCAGTCCACGCGCACACGCGCACATACGCACCAACGCCGCTTGCCTACCCGCCTTTCCCCCGGGGGAGTAAAAAGAAAAAGGGATTCCACTTCAATGCAATGTTCCGTGCGATGCTTGTGATGATTATTTCCTAAAGCGAATGGACGATGATTAGGTGCCGCGAAGCTGTAAATGCCCCGGGGGGGGGGGGGGGGGGGGGGGGGGGTAACAGTAGGGGAAATTCGTTAAAAGTTTCGGCGATTTGATCATTCTAGACCGTCGGGTTGCCGTCCGCCTCTCGGGAGGGGAGAGTGAGCGTGGAGAATCGCAGGTATCGTTCAGCGAATCCGTAAGAGATGCGTTCCGTATTACAAGTTGTATAGTAAAAGTTTCCACACTCGGACACCCCTTGTCTCCTCCCACTCTCTCTTCACGTTCCGCACCTCTTCCCCGTCTAGTGGTCTTCCGTTTTGTTCACCACGTGGCCGAGATGGTGGTTGAAGGGATCCGTGTTCTCAATGGGATAAGAGCCATTCAGGTTCTCGGATGGCATCGTTGCCGTTAACGGCGTTCCGAGCCCGTGTTCTCGTAGACTTCCGTGGTCATATGCGTTCGGCATACTTGGATATGCCCCTTGATTAGCGTACGGAGAATGATGAGGTTGATGTGTGTTCGATGTCGGCGGTGCGGTGGTGTACATATTAGGGCCGACAGGAGAAGCGGTTCCCGACGGCGGTGCACCGTTGAGCGGGCCGTGGGATCGCGGGGAGACGTTGTGGATCGGCGAGGTCATCGCGCTTTGCGTGTGAGCGGGTATTGGGGCGAGATTTAACGGCGGATTGTTCCCCGTGCCGGAACCCGCCGTGAACATGAACGGGTGGGAAGGACTTTGGGCACTGGGATTTGAAAACTGGATAGGAGAGTGGCTCATGTGCGCCTGGCGTTCGAAGCCGTGGGAGAGCGAAGAGTAGTGGGTAGGAATGCGTTCGTTCGACGGGGCCATCGAAACCACCGCTGATGAGCTAGGAGGTCCCGTAGTCACGGAGCCCAGAGACAGCTGCTGAGATGTGTATGCCGGCCCCGGAGCAGGAGCGTAGGCTCCCCATCGTATTTCTGCGCCCGTCTCTTGCGTCTGCGTCCCGGGGTTGACCGAGGAATACTCTGCCCTATGCCTCTTCGTCAAGGGCTCATCGTAGTCGTGGTAGCTTCTGTCGTCCATCTGAGGAATACCTCCATTCTGCGAGGCACTCCCTTGCCTGTGTCCCGACTGCTTGTCCATCTGGTCTGCCATGCGCAGATTCTTCTTCTTATTGGCAATCTGTCGCGAATCCTTGCGTAACCGGAGGCGGACACCTTGGTCGCTGAAAGACCGAGTGAGAAACGTTGATTCTGCCATGCCGGGAAAGGCTCTACCGGCGTGGACCTTGAAGTGATCGCTGGTCACCGAGCAGATCGTAACCCAAACCTCGCCCTCGTCCATATTTTCCATCGTCATCTGCAGTAAATCGAATCGGATGACGTACTCCCCCTCGCTCTTTATCGTCAGATCTCCAAATACGAAGAAAGCACCCTCTTTATTCGTAGGATCCTTCAGTCTATGCAATGACGAGACTGTCGTCCCCGCCATCATGTTTGCTGGTGGCGTAGCCTGGCCATTCGGGCCCGGAGGGTGCGCGTATTCTAAGTACGCAACTGCTATGAGGTAAGGACCTGGTTTTGTCTCTTAGTGATCGATTTCTATGCATCCAGACGAGTTCCTACATACTCTGGCGGTATACACCATCAGGGTCTTCGTCGCTCGGAACGTGTAACTGAAGGATCGGGGGTGGGTCGACCGGTTTTCGATCTATTCGAGTCATTAAGCACTTCGCCGAAATAACGACGGGAATTGAAGATCGTATTACCTTTGTCCTTTCCATTGGCAGCCTTAGCCATCGTAGGCTGCTGTAACACTTCTAACCGGTATGACTCTGGACTATATGGTCTGAGGCAATTAGCGAGTTGTAAATAAACTAGACAGAGCAGCTAAGATTACATGAGGGAGTGGAAAGTTTCTCGGGGAAATAGGAAACGCGCATAGGTCCCTTACCGTTGGGGCGCTGGGCCATTCGCCTGCGGATGTGACTGATGGTGAACATGAGGCGCGGAGGGAGGAGGCATCGCAGGGTTCATTGTTGGCATATAGGTGGTAGGTCCATGCCCCACCCAAGGGCTACTTTGGTGAGGGTGGAACGCCATCTCTAGTGATAGTATATTAGACACGGCGAAAGAGCGGCGGGATCGAGATGTCTGATATCACGGCGGCCGAAACTTACGAGGGACGAGTACCGTCATACAATCGATTTCCCGCAGGTGACGAAGCTCCCGAGATCGTTTTGGGTTTCCTCGTTATAAGTCGAGAAATATGGAAGCAGTGACGGTCCCTATTTATTGGCGACAACTCATAGGGGAGCTTAAAATAGACAAGAGGATGCTACGGCGTTGGTTGGTGCCACAAGTTAAGTCGAACGATCGACGGAGGCGTGGCGAGGAGGGTATTCGAGCCTTATAAACCAACATCAACGACCCCGAGATTTGTCGTCGCGAGAATGCCTCCTGCTTTAGTTAGACAACAAAACGACGCTTTTGATGAGACGCAGGGGGCATATTTTCCGAGAGAAAAAGAAGGGAACGATGAAATTAGTACTCACGTATTTCTGTATTCGTCCACAACGCAAATCTTTTCGATTCTGTTCTCCTCGGAGTAGATCGAAGTAATAGACTCTTCGCTTCTTGATCGGAAGCCTCTAAACTTGCTTCTCGCTAACAAACCGAAGACGGACCAACGCTCAAGGCAAAGCGCAAAACGTAGGAGAATGCTCGGTGAGGCTGCTCCCACAAATATTCGTGTGATCTAGGGAGGTGGGTGTGTTGATCAAGATGTCTCGTCTTTGCATCGGCGTTGAATCTTCTTTCCCAAGTCCTCAAATCCGGCGGCTTCTTTTCCCACAGCTCTTTCCAAATGCCAAATATGGACGGTTTCTGCTCCTCTTCCAAGCATCAAGATGTGGTTTCCTCCGTCACTATCACAGCCACGGAAGCTCAGTTGGTGGCCCAACGTTCCCCTTATACAACACCGGTTACGGCAAGATAACCCGACTATGCGAGGTCGCCTCGGCTGTCCAAAATGCTAGCTTCGGAATCGGTATTCTTCGTTTGAGTAGTAATTTCGCGATGCTATTCTAGGTGAATAAGTCGCTGCCTTAGAGAGAAAGCCGAAAGGCTTGATGCACCTGAGGGAGGAATTCGGGCGCTAGGACTCTGCTGTCGGGCTGAAGCCTCGAAAGCAAGGGGAAGGCCCTGGGGCCAACTGCTTAGAGCTAGAAGCTGGCGCAAAGGTCCGGCGCGTAGCTCTCTCGGATACTTAAACGATCCTGGCTCGACTAGCAAAGCGCGAAGTGATTGTCCAGTAGAGCTCGGCGGGAGGCGTTTGAGGAGTGGGCCCGGGATTGACGGCTAGAAAACCAAGTCCCGAGAGACGAAGAGTAGCGGCAACGCGACAACGCGGGTCGTCTTTTTACTCTGCCACGTACTCCCTGCGGCTCTCAAGACAACAAGTTGAGATAGACGAGTGTATCTGTTGACTCCGCCCCCGATGCCTGATCAGAGTTATTAGTACCTCGATACTCGCACTTCCGTAGTTGTACTAGGCTGACTCCACGAAGCTCTGTCTAAACCCTCTTCTCGACCCAAGACAAGATGTCACTGGAGAGTTTCAGCGTGCACCTCAGGATGACTTTCTCGTAGCTCTCTTAGTTATTCCAGGGCGATCGGCTAGGCTTGCCCTGGTCTGATAGTGGAAGACCTAAACCGGGGTCTGGGTTCGGCGACTTGAAGCTTGGGATCCAAGGCGGTCTAGCTGTCGTTCGGGCCGCTGTTGGATAGGTGGAGGGGATCCGTCGTAGTCCAAGGCTATTCCCGCCGGAAGTGGTATCTTGCCCTTCTTAGATCGGGAGGATTGGATTCGGCTGTGTGAATGTTGGTACAGCTTCGAAGCTCTGCAACTCGAGGTGAGGGCTAAACCTGAGGGGGTAAAAAAAGAAGAGACGAGCGATCTAGTTATGTGGACGACAGCTTTGTGGAGGGGGGGGGCTTCCGCTTGCCGGGATATTTCAACATCGACAAGGCCGAGGCGTGCAAGGAAATTATATGCTGTCCCTATTATAGCTAGGTTTCCCAGATATCATCGACAAGACCAATATACAACGAGGTTGACGGGGAAGACGATAGAGTGACCTCGTGGTGATTGTGAAAGGCTGGAGGGGGGGGCGGACGATTATGGATCTCCGTCATGTATTGTATTGGGATGGATTTACGATGTGGAGAAGAATCACTTATGGTATATACCACACTTACCAACGGGGTAGGCCACAAGCTAGGGCATATGTACGGTCCCAAGACCCCAGATGGCACAGTATTCAACGCCCAAGGCAAATGATAGTGGTGTGATCTGGCCAGTGACTGCAGGAAGCTCTAGAGAGCAATGCCAGCATTAAGCACTGTGACTGTATGTACATAGATAGGTTATGGGGAACGACAACGGTGGGCCTAAGGTGTGTAGGGATCAACCGGTAAGTACTCGGCCCCTCGAGGGTATCCTCCTGAGAGCTACTACCATCGAGGGATGTATACGAATCTCGACCCTTTTGTACAGCGAATTCATGATTAGCGTGGTGAGCAGCGGCGGCGGCAGCACCACCACCACCACCACCACCACCACCACCACACCCCCCCCTCTCCCCCCCAGCTCCGCCTTGGCTGTTGGTACTCCATCCTGGAACAGCTATCTCTGCTGACGAAATCCATGTTCAACCGTATCGAAGTATACGTACTTGGTCGAGCAAGGGTCGACTGTGCAGGAGGAATACTTCGTCGAGGTACAACAACGAACCTGCATGGGGGGGCGTTGCCCATGATCAGAGCGGAGGACGACAGGGGGGTGCCGCTTCAAGCTTTTGTATCCGCCAGAACATTTATGTATTGTACTCATACATGGGCTCCTCTGCGTAGGCATGTACTCGTTGATTTGTCCGTGCGGGACACAGGCCTGGACGAGGGAGGCATGCTGGCCACCTCTGCACCATCTGGTCGAAGTCGGGATCTCGACGCGCCTGTTGCGCGTCCTCTCATCCCCACGCGCAACATAATTCGATCAGCATATTCTCTAGGAGTCGCCGAGGAGCACTGGCAAGTTGAAAATTACAACGAGAATGAGATCTTGGCATAGGTCCGATTTTGGAAGCACTCGACAGAGGGTTGTGTGTAAGTCTACTAATAGTTCCCTCGAGCTTCCGAGCCCATCAGTACTCAAAGAATACGGGCTGCACAGTGCGCGGTCTAGCCTGCTCTCGAGAATCGCCCTCCATCCCCCCGGTTTACGTGTAGAGAGCCGATTCCTCTTTGGAGGAAGAGAGGCATAGACCGACGGTCACCAAGACGCATAGGGACGGCAGTGTAAGTGCTGAAACTGGCAGGCGGCACAAAATACCTGCACACCTACATACGCATCTACATACATAGAGAGACACACCTACACACCTCCCTCGCCCACACCCGCGCACGGCGAGAGATATATACATGTCCAATATACGGCATGTGTATGTAACATATCTACACACATGCTCGCCGTACATATATATACGTGCATACACATACCCATACCCGCATACATTGATATGTGTACAGTCCTCCCGAAACCGAACAGTAAGTGCAGAATATGCGTGAAAGCACTACGCCCCCCCCCGGTAAGCGAAGTGGAGGGACGTGGACGGTGAAGGGGGAGCTGCTCCACTATCTATCAAAATGTGCAACCCGCAAGTAGTGCCAAGTGTGGTACATCGTCCCTCTAAAAGTAGCTTCGAGGAGGGCCGATGCCACCTAGTAATTAACGGTATTGAAGTATAGGTACGACTTCCAGGGTTCCGTAGACTGGAAAGATCTACCATAGCAATGCCCTAGAGCGTATAAGAGAGAGAGGGAGGGAGGAGGAAGAGAGAGAGAAAAAAAGAGATGACCATGAGTAGCGTGTCGGGAGACGAATATTTTGTTAAATTAAACCGACGTTTCCTTTCTCTTTTGGTTAATCCTGGAAAGTGTTGCCGAGGCCGACAGGCTCCCGCGGTTCGGGACCCTGATTAGGGGTAGGCAATCTTCAGCAGACATGTACGTAACTATCCCGTTGCAACAGTGTGTGTGGTGGTTGTGGTGGCCATGGAAGATCTGAATTCGCCGAAATCAGCTCCAGCACCTGGTCAGTGGCAGAATGCCGCACCCATGCCCGGAGAGGGAGAGTGGTGGAAGACGCGAGAGCGCCATCCCAGCCACGGCTAGCCAGCCTAGGAAGTCTGTTTTTCAACGCGTCGAGATCGGACGGAATCCCGAGCCGGGGCTGGGCCGGCCGTGTTTCAGAAGCTTCTCTTCCCCATGTCAAGAATTCGAATCTGAAAGGAGGTCCAACGCTAAAATAGGTAGGAAGGGGTCCGTCTTCGTGCCCTCCAGGTCGACTGCGGCTTATCTCACATTGCTTTTCATGCTGACATCTGCTGTAGCACGTCAGAGTGTGTCGTGCCGCGAGACCCTTAAGAGACTGGACATGGTTCAGGGTTCGAACCAGCAGACTAATAATAAAGGGGTATCTCTTATGTGTGTGTAGACGGTTCCTGAATCCTGATATCCTAACGCCAATTGTCGTTGACAGGTCAGAATCGATGTAAGCCGGATGGATATCCCGTCATCACCATCCATCCACCCTCGACGCCGTCTCCCGCGACGCCAAATAGAGAGATAGGGATGTTGACACTACGAGTCAGGGAAGGGGGGAGGCGGAAGGGGGAGGGCGGAAGAGGAGGGGCGAGGATCGATACGCGAGAGAGCTAGAGCGTTCGCTTTACGTGACTTGAGATCGACTACACCTCCGTCGACACCCTCTTCCCCCCCCTTTCTTTTTTTTTTCCCTACAAGAAAGTTGTTGTTCCCATGACTAGTCTCCCTCGGTGTTCTGTGTCTTTTCCCGCCCCCCCATATTTGACAGTTCCGTCTCAACCCGCCCGCCAACGCTCGGATAGCGAGGGCATCCGTTGCGATGGGGTTGGCTGGCTAATGCATCCAATGGACTACGACTTGTTTCCCAGCCCTCCTTCCCCTGGGAGAGCGTCGCACAATAAATGAAATAAGGCGAGATGATGACGATGTAAAATCATGCGGTGGCACACGACGCACGCCATGCTTGATGGCATTGGCCCACGTGAGAATGCCGGAACCTCAGCGCCGGCGATGGGAGGGAGGAAGACCTCCCAGCATGCTGTTTGGGGACACCCGCTACGCCGCGTGTTGACGAGGCAATGTAAATACCCGAACTAGGAAAAGAATAAAAGAGCAGCCGTTATCAGGATCGAACTTGAAACGAACCAGGCGATGTAGACCAAGGGATCACCAGACGGTTACCCAGATCTTAGTCGGCGATTTTTTTTAAAGCCCTGTAGGTATGCCACAGACGCCAGCGCCAACATGGGGATCGGACGAACGATCAATCCCCCCCTTT